TACAACAAACTAGTAATATCACAGATATCATTTAGGATGGAACAAAATTTTAAATGTCAATTTAAAGAAAAAGTAATAATCAAATAATATTGGAATATATTCTCTAAGGTGGCTCCTTGAATGGCCATGGTCTTAAAAACAATGAATGGAGAAGAGCAAATGGAAGCTCAAGAATAACTCCATTTATAAGTGATGGCCAAAGGAGAAAGGGGAAAAAAAGAACCTTCTTAAAATGATTTGTTTTCTATTTTTAAAATATGTTTTCTGTCCTAGCTGGTAGGGCTTTGTGGATTGAGTGCTGGTCTGCAAGCCAAAAGGTTGCTGGTTCAATTCCCAGGCAGGGTACATGCCTGGGTTGTGGGCCAGGTCCCCAGCTGGGGCATGTGAGAGACAACTGATCAATGCTTCTCTTGCACATCAATGTTTCTCTTTCTCTCTTTCTTCCTCCCTCCCTTTCTCTCTAAAAATAAATACAATCTTTAATTTTTTTAAAAAAGATCATCTATATTTTTAAAAATAAAGTATAATGATGTAAGTGTTTTCTTCCTATGTTACCAGAATATGGTTTCAGACATTCTGATCATGGTACAGACTTAAATTTACTGTGACATATACTTTCTCTACCGAGAGAACCAAAAAGTAGGTTTTTCTAAAGCACTTGAAAATCAAGTCAAAGTTCTTTAGAACAGGTCTCACAGGACTTCCCTTTCACTAAACAGGCTGCAAAGAAATAATTAGCCTGAGCTATTAGATTCAAGTGCAGAGGAACCAAAAGCAGGTTATATGGTTATAGATTAAAGAGGCTCAAATAAAAAGCAATTGGCTGAGTTTACATTCCAACTGAATCCAGAGACCATGTGATCCAATTTCTCCTCAGCCCTTATGAGTGGGACATGCTCCTGAGTGGTCAGATTATAAACCTTATGTTTTATGTTATGGATTGAAATATGACAGGACTAACTGGCTATCTCAACACCATAAAAACACAACCACTGTAAGAGAAAAAAATAACCCACAGGCAGACAAATTAATAAGGCATTTTGACATGAAACTACAAGAGAAACCAAAAAAACATAAGGGCACATTGGCATAGGCTTCTACTCTTTTGTTCTATCCAATATGGTAGGTACCAAATTTCAAACTGAAAATTTAAATTTGAAATAGCCATAAAAATGCAACATTTTCATCACTGCAGAAAGACTTATTGCACTGCTCTAAATCCCCCGTAAGAACCATGAACAAGTTCACCTGCCATTTCCAGTCCTTAATGTCGAAATGCATTGATAGTGCTCAAGGTCACATACACCAAACCAAGTCCTACTGTTGATTTTAGGGTCATAACAGATTTTGCTCTTTATTTTTCCCAAAGCTTTCTAATCGTTAAAAAAAAAAAAAAGGAAAGAAAAAGAAAAAGAAGCCTGCTTTTAAGTGATGCAACATGCATACCTCAGGGAGTTTCACTATATAAAGAATAATCTCTCTCTCTCTCTCTCTCTCTCTCTCTCTCTCTCTCTCTCTCTCTCTCTCTCTCTCTCTCTCTCTCACTGCAGGACCCAAGTGTCCCAAACGAAAGACTATTAAAAACAATTACAGTTCATAAAACAATAAGAACACTATGACCACTGGAGAACTTAGTTCCGAAGAACGTAAACACTTTTTTTACCTTATCACCAAAACCTCAGCTACCAAACACAATGGCTGTCAAAAGGTATTCTCTGCAGCGAATACTTTTAAAAAACAAGTTATGATTATCCTGACTACAAACTCCTGCTTTGAAGGAATGATACATGGAGAAATCAAAACCCTTAATTCCATAACAATCTCACTTCTTATTGCTGTTTTCCCTCTAAGAAAGGATGACAGAAACCTCCTTCAATTTCTTTCATTCTTAGGCCTCTATTGCTTACTCATTGGATCATTTTCCAAAGGAGAAGGCAGAAGGATCCAATCAAACTCCTAATTTGAGTTTACACCAAGCTTCTAAACTCTGAGCCAAGTCAAAAGCATGATTTCCACACTGCTTTGCAAACCCAGCTTAACTCTAACTCAAGGTTTCTCATCAGCAGCACTACTGGTATTTGGGGCCAGATATTTCTGCACTGTGGGGGCTGTCCTGTGCTCCACAGGATGTTTACCAGCATCCCTGGCCTCTACCCAACTAGATGATAATAATAGCCCTCCTCTTCCTCCCCAGCCAGGAGTTGTAACAACTAAAAAGTCTCCTGGGAGGGTCAAAATTGCGCCTAGTTGAAAACTACTGCTTTAACCAAAGGAACATTCTTGATTATCTCAACCTTAATTCCTCATAATCATTTGACATGCCTCCAAATCCTTGTGTTGAGACTTTGTCTCTCAATCCAACAAATATTTACAGAACCTCTAACAGGGGTGTCCAACCTTTTGGCGTCTCTGGGCCACACTGGAAGAAGAGTTTGTCTTGCGCCACACATTAAGTACACAAACACTAATGAAAACTGATGAGCAAAAAAAAAAAAAGAAAGAAAGAAAGAAAGGTACTTGCATAATTTACAATTTTGTGTGGGGCTGCATTCATAGCCATCCTGGGCCACATGCGGCCTGCGGGCGGCAGGTTGGACACCCTTGACTAGGACAAAACATTAAGGGCTCTAGGAGATACACTGGATCAATTCTGTCCCTCAAACAGGATTCTTGGGGTGGGGGGAATAAGTACATTAAGAGCTATAATAAAAGACATCCAATTATATCATGTTTTGAAGTGCTGGTTTTTGTTCCTCACCAAAATAAAAACACCTAGAGGGCAAAGACCATACTCTGGAATACTAACACTTGATTAATGGCCAATAAAAATAAAAATAAGCTATTGTAAATTTCACCATAACAAGGTGACAATTTCATAGGGACAGTAAAAACTCCACAGCTAACTGGGGCAATAAGCCCTCTTGGCTGCAAAATGGGGAGAAAAATTATTGTTGACAGGAAGTCAGATAATACAAGCCAATCTTTTTCCATTGCTTTTTCTGGCACAGAGCAAGCAATGTAAGCTATCATTATTATTATTTTATTAGCAACAAATCCTACCTCAAAGAGAAGATCCTGCTCCAGGATACAATAACAAACCCCAACATGAAATAAAATCAACACTCACCCTGCTTTTTGACAGCAAGAGGAGAGAGTAACCATAAATATTTCTAGCAATGTCCTGGGAGGAAAAAGTGCGAGCAGGAACCAGCTGGAGATGTGGGGGGCCTTCAGAGACAAACCCAATATATGTTGAACAATACTTTAAAATTGATTTTAGAAAGAGCGGGAAAAGGAGAGGAGGAGGGTGGGAGGGAGGGAGAGAAAAAAACATGGATTTATTGTTTCACTTATTTATGCATTTATTAGTTGCTTCTTGTGTATGCCCTGACCTGAGATCCAATCTTGGCATGTCAGCAAGATGCTCCAACCAACTGAGCTACCCAGCCAGGGCCCAGAACTATTCTTAAGACCTCATTTTAAATGCTCGGGTGTGTTCGCCATAACCACACAAAGATGTAAAGAGGAAGTGAAAAACAATCCCTATTTCAAAAATATCAACACATGCAAGGGACAGATATTCATGAGACTTTGAGTATTTGCTTGCTTAATCTTTTAGAAATTTGGCTTCAATTTTCTATCGCTATAAAGTTAAATAACATGCCATCAATTTTGAATTTACTATGAGGCACAGCGTTCAGAAGGAAAAAAAAAAAAGACAAATGCTGTTGTCCCACGTTTAAAAGTCAGAGAACATAAAGTCGGTGGGGAAAGCTAGGAGATTCAAAGATGTGTGTTTGACTCAAGCAGCTTTAGGAGACGGAGGATACTTGGGGTAGAAGTAAAAGACAGGAAAAGTCACCATGCTGGAACATACAGTCAGGAACACTTAAAACAGCACACGGAGTTTAGATGAGCAAAAACAGACCTTATTCTCCTAAGAACGGACCACACCAGTTCGGTGTGTACCTTGGGCTAGGCAGGCACCAAGTGCCTCACACATAGTGGTTCATGTAACCCAGCAATAGGCAGGTACCCACAATTTACAGAGGACAAAACTCAGACAGATAAGTGACTTACCTAAGGTCACTTATTAGTAAATTGAAATTTCAGACTCCAACCCAGGTACCGTGGCACCACCTCTACCGCTACACTTGACGGTGTCTATTTTAATTTCAGACCTGGAAAATTAAGTTGCACTTGCTACTTAGTGAGACCAGTTCTCTCCCCCCTATCCTTTTGTATTTCAAAAGAGCGTCCTTTTAGCTGCGACGTGTATGGTGATCATACAGGGTCCTGAGGGGTAACGCTGTGACAGATGGACCCTGTTGCCTTTGGACTCTGAAGTGACCCACATGGAGGAACTTAGTGGACAGAAATGGAGTTAAGTGTCCTGCACAAGAGGAGGATCCTGGAGAAAGAGGGAGGTCGCCAAAGTTCCTATTTCAGCCCCTATTTCCTGGCCACTACGTTCATTCAAGAGACCCCCGAGCCAACTCTCCTTTTCATCTTTCCCACTCTGAGGTGGAGAGGATGGAGGCGAGGCAGGGGCCTACGGGCTAAGAGGCGTGCGGAAAGCCGGGGCCGGGGACAGGCGTAGGGACCGGGGTGGGGAGCCAGGCGTGGGACAGCGACGCCAGTAGGCTTGGGGTCGGCAGCCAGGGCGAGTTCGGCGGACGTGCTAAAGCCGAAGAGAGGCCCGGGGCGGAGCAGCCCTGTTACTACCGTCTGGGCTGATCGGAGAAAGGAAGCGAAGCAGGAACCAAGGCATTTCTAAACAGGAGTAGAAATGAACCTCGAGCGTAGACCAGGGTCCGGGGTGTGGCAGAGGCGGGGCCGGGGGTCGCGGCCCCGGGAAGCCGGGACCCCGCAGGAGCGAAGACAGGAGATCCGCGTGCGAAGGGCTGCCCAAGCTGGGCAGCGCGCGGCCGAGCCTGCAGCCGAGGAGCGGAGCCCTGAGGACGGGCGGCGCCCTCCGCTGGCTCCCTGGCCTTGCGTACCTGAGACGGCCGCCTGGCTCCCCTCCACTCCCGGGCCGTCCCCGACGCTGCCCGCCGGCTCTCGACCGGCTGCGGGGCTCCAGAAGCCCAGCCCCTCAGCCGCCTGCGGGTCCGACATCTGCAGCTGAGCGGAGAGCGCCTCCACCGCCCGCCGCGAATGGTCCCGGAAAGAGCCGAAGGCCTAGTGAGCGCCGGAAAGTACCGAGCGGAGCCCGAGGGCCGGAAGGGGCAGCGCGCCGGCCCCCGAGCTGTCACAGGAGCTCTGGCCAGCGAGGACTGGCAACGCGGATGTGGGAAAGATTACTGCGTGCTTTGGACGGCAGGTTTTTAAAGTCCTGGAGTGAAAGAACAAACAAAACCTGAGGAAGATTGAGGAATTTTCTGGCCGGAAATCGTGGTATCCATAGAGACGCTATCGGAAGTTGGGGTTGCTGGGAGGCGTGGGCGCGTGGGCTAATCTGCGTCATGGCTGAAGTACCAGAGGATTACGATTCCGGCCCCGATGAAAGTGAAGACCTGGAGTCTGGGAAACCACAACTGCCAGAGCTTCTTAAAATAGCTGAAGATGCCGAACCAGACGCAACGGCAGAGGCAGACCCGAAGCTCCATGAAGGGATGGATCAAGAGCCACAGCCAGAGACGGAGGAAGATAACTTCAAACACCTGGCGCAAGAGAGTCCTAAGAATATACACCTACACCAAAAACCAACCAGGACATCCGAGGAAGAGATTGCCAAGGAGTCAGAGATAGATACAGGGATTCCCCAAGAAGTAATGTCGGAAGCATCCAGAGGGATGGTAGGAGAGCTTTTCAAGGATTTTGAGGCCCATATGGATGAAAAGCAGGGGAAGCCAGACCTAGAGCCACCAGAGGAGGCCACGCTAGATGTTACAGAGGATGTCTTCATAGAGTCAGCTAAGGAAACAGATCTAGAGTTACAAAAGGAAACAGAGTCTGAGGTTCCAAGGGCCACAACTGATGAGACAGGGTTAGAGTTACTGGAGGAGACCAAACCAGGGGTTTCAGAGGACTTACTTAGAGAGCAAAATGAAGAGTCAAGTCTAGAACCTGCAGAGCAGACCAAACCTGAATTTCCAAGTGAGAAACCAAGAAAATCAATTGAAGAGGCAGTTCTACAGCCACAAAAGTCGACCACACCAGAGTTTCCAGAGGAGACACAAACAAAGTCACATCAGGAGAAAAGGAGAGAGCCATCTGAGCAGACCGGACTGGAGTTTACAGAAGAGAAACCAAGAAAGTCTACGGAGGTGGCAGGTCTAGAGTCTCCAAAAGAGATTAAGCCAGGGGTTTCCCAGGAATCAGGAAGAAAACCAACTGAGGAAGGGACTGAGCCATCTGAGCAGACTAAACAAGAGTTTCCAGACCAGAAACCTAGTAAGTACACTGAGGACACACAAAGAAAGTCAACTGAAGAGAAAGTTTCAGAGGCACTAGAAGAGATCGAATCAGAGTTTCCTGAGGAAAAAGCAAGAAAACCTATTGAGGAAATAGGTCTAGAGTTACCAGAAAAGACCAAATCAGAAATTCAGGAAGAGATACAAAGAAAATCAACTATGGAGGAAGTTCTAGAACCACCAGAAGATACTGAACCAACAGTTCAAAAAAATAAGAAGAGAAAATCAGTTAAGGAGACAGGGCTAGCACCACCACAGAAGTCCAAATCAGAGGACACACTAAAAGAGTCAACTAAACAGGCAGGTCTAGATCCTCCAGAACAGACTGTACCAGAGGTTACAAAGGAAGAACCAAAGACACAAAGTAAATTGACTGAGAACACAGGTCAAGTGCCACCACAGAAGACCAAACCAGAGGCTCAAGAGGAGACACAAACAGAACCAACTAAGGATAGAGATTTAAAGTTACCAGATAAAGCCAAACCACAACGTAGACAAGAGACATATAAAGAATTTGCCAAGGAAGATAGGTCAGAATCAATCAAATTTAAGCATTTTGCAGACAAAAATGAGCTAGAGGATTCTGACTATGAAGAACAGTTGTTAGTAAAAGAAACTAAAAAAGTTATGAAAGACTCTATGTTAGGATCTCTAGAGGTAAGAGAAGTAAACTCAGTAAATACAGATTATCAGTTTTCAGAAGGACCTCCAATGCTGGACGAGCTTGTTGATACCAGTAATGACTTATATCTCTCAGAGTCTCAGAGGGATTTAAGAGAGTCTCTAAAGTTGAAGAAACTGGTACGCGAAGATGAAGAAACCCAGCCAAAAAAAAGGATTGAGCTACAATTTGAGTATCTTAAATGGAGCCCAGAAAAAGTTGCAGAGTGGATTAGCAAGTTAGGATTCCCTCAATACAAGGTATACAAAAATAACATTTTTTTTTTTGAAATTATACTCTCATTCTTCTACCTCTTATTCCTCTACCGTTGCCTGAGTTCTTGCTTCTTCCTTACTAGAAGTCTAGAAAAGTCCTGAACTATGGTAATGGTAACTTGGATTTTAATTTTGGACTTTCCACGGATGTGTATTTGTATTTTGGGAGAGGAAGGAGAGTCACATTTGTATGTTTTTCTATTCATTGCAGTGATTTTTCTTCTCCAAATCCTTAAATAAAGACTAAGAAATTTAGATAGACCTCTTTTCATAGAAAACTGCACTTTTTAATAGATTTCACCCAAGGTAGACTTTTTGGTACTCTGCGAAGTTGTTTTAGCTCCCTAATTTGAATTTGTACTATTATTTTTAAATGTCCTAAATATGTCATATGTATCATGAGCACCTCACAGTACTAATTTAAATAGCCAATTAACTAGAAATAGTTTTATCAAAAAGATAAAATGAAAAGTGAATCCTTTTATTTCATTGATGCCAATTATGTTCTTAGGCTACTACCAAAAATAAATAAATAAACAAAATAAGATATAATATCTTTTGTAATCCTATACTTAAAACTTAAAATGTAATTGAAGCATGAAAGAACTATTGGTTGTATCATACCAAAAAAATTTAGCAAAAACTTAGATGGAAAATATGTGGGATTATTAGGATTATTACTAAGTTTAAACTTATTTTAAATTTAAAATTCGCTCAGTATAGAACAGGAGGAAAACATGATTTATTCCCCCCCCCCCCGCTTGCCTACCCTTCTTCTCTCCTTCCCTTCCTCCCTTCCATCCTTCCTTCCCCTCCTGTCTCTCCTTCCTTCCTTCCTCCCTCCCTCCCTTGTTTCTTTCCTTGTCCATCTCTCTCCTCCTTCCCTCCTCCCTGCCCCCTTCCCTCCTCTCCTTTCCTTCTTTCTCCATCTCTTTCCCCCCCTCCCTCTCTCCCTTCCTTCCTTCTTTCCACCATACATCTTTTCAGTGACATTCTCGTTGTACTGATAGGAGTGTTTTACCACAAACTTCATCAGTGGCCGAAAACTCATCCATGTAAACTGCTCAAACCTCCCTCAGATGGGGATAACAGATTTCGAGGACATGAAGGTGAGTCGTGTATCAAATTTCCCCATAGACCACTGTAACAATCCTACTGTGTTCAAATGAACCTCCTTTTCTTCCTCCATGGCCTCCAATTTCTGTCAGTAGTGTTATTGTACTCCCAGTCCCCAGGCTCACAGTCATTTCTTCCTCTCGCTGTCTCCTTTGATCCCCACAAAGATGCCATGAACTGTCAGTTCCTCCTATGGCATCTGGTTGTCTCCATTTCCACTTGTTCAGACCTTTATTGCCTTATACTTAGAACATTCCAGCAACCTCCTACTTGCAGACTCTGTCCATGGGTCCTCTGTTGAGTCAAGAGTGCTTCTTTTTAACTCTCACCTTCAAACCATTTATATGCTACTCAGAAACCTTCTTTGGATCCCCTCTGCCTACAAGAGAGTCTCAACTCCTTAGTTTAGAATTCAGGGCCCCCCACAAGTTTTATCCAACCACCATTCTCTTCCTATCACTCTCCTATACGAATCTTCTGCTCTAGCCTCACAGGTTTAACTCACACCTTCCTAAACCTGTCTGCATTTCTCCCTCTGCAGCTTTCTCCTTCTCCTCTATGACTAATATGAATCTTAATCATCCTTAGGACCCAGCTCAATTTTCTTGTCTCCAAGAAGTCTTTCCTGACCTTCCCAGGTCACAGTAACCTCTCTTTCCAAGATCTCATACATTCTATGTCTCTAACACCCATTGGCACTTAAGTAACACCATAGGTATTTTGCATGCTTTGGTACCTAACTTGAAAACAAGTTACATTAACCTCTCTGGACCTGTTTCCTAAGATCTCTCCAGCACCAACAGTCCATGATCATGTTTCTTTGCCTAATAATACCCTCCATTTATAGTGTTTACAAAGCTTCACATACATAATCTCATTTATAACCTTTCCTTTAATACCACCTCCCCAGCATACTAGTGGTTTCGTTCAGTACACTCTTGCCCATAAATGCTTCTGCTTCAGTGGTTCTCAAACTTGGATAGTCTTCAAAATCAGATGAGATTTTTTAGAAAAGATTCCTAGGCTCCACATTCCAAAGATTTTGATTCACTATGTCTAGAATAAACCCTGGAATTTGTTCCCCAGGTGACTCTTGATCAGACCTTAAAATCATGTAATTCTATAAGTAATATGATTTAGAAAATAAGAAAACTATACTTGCTAATACCTAATCCCTTTTCCTCGCAACAAGAAAATAAAGAAATCCTTTACATTATTAAACACGTTAAACTCTAAATGAACATTTAATCTCTTACTAATAGTTAACTCTACTAATAGTTACCCTGGTATCTCTGACTGTAGTCCGGCACCACAAGGTTCATTCTAGCCTTCCCATCCTTTTATTCCCTGTCCCCCTTTGCTTCTTTATAACTTCTTTCTCTGACAATGAGAAGCCTGGCTCTCCTTATCTGTAAATATGTATCCCTATGAGAAACACATTTACCAGAGTACAGTGTTTGTGTCCAGTTGTTTTGTCTTTGGCCTTACACGACCTAGACCAATGATTTTTCTTATGGCACACATAAACTAATTACTAAAATTTTGCAGCATGCCAAAAAGTATATTTTTTTGCTGATCTGACACAAAAAAAATGTCTGGCTAGTGTGGCTCAGTGGATTGAGCACTGGCCTCTGAACTAAAAGATCGCTGGTTTGATTCGCACCCATGCCTGGGGTGCAGGCCAGGTCCCCAGTTGGGGGCACGTGAGAGGCAATCATTTGATGTTTCTCTCTGTCTCTTTCTTCCTTCTTTCCCCGCTCTCTAAAAATAAATAAATAGGTATAATTTTGATTCATTCACACCATATGGCTGTTACTGTGTTGACTGTTGTCATTTTTTTATTTGACACTCTATGGGAAAAGAGGTCAGTGCCCCTGACAAAGTAGTCAGGTATTGCCTATTTTAAAAATCCTTGCAGCACACTAGTTGAAAATCACTGGCCTAGACAAAGCACTGGTTTTCAAAGTCAGCTCCTTTCTTCCCTACCTTCTTAATGACATTATGTCTTACTTTGTGATACAGTTAGATGTATTTCTCTACAGCCTTTATTCCATCAGGGGTTACCACAACATCCTGGCTTTTTAAAAACTTGCATAAAGCCACTCTTTGTAGCATACAGTTCTGTGGGTTTTAACAAATGCACAGGATCAGGTATCCAGAACAATTCTATAACTCTAATATTTCCCCTGTGTCCCCTCTGTAGTCAGCCCATCCCTCCACCCCAATCCCTGGGAACCACTAAATTGGTTTTTGTCCCTTTAGTTTTTACTTTTCTAGAATGTCACATAAATAGAGTCAGATAATATGTAGCCTTTGAGTTTAGCTTCTTTCCTTTAGCAAAATTCATTTAAGATCAATTCACATTATTATATGAATTAACAAGCAGATTTTAAGGAAACCATACATCTGGTTTCATAATGATGGTATAGATGATTCACATTTGAACCACAAAAATTAGGTCTTTAGGTTAAATTAAGGTAAACCATAGGTCCCAATTAAGCAAATATGCATTGCTACTATAAGATAACTAAGCAGTATGTAATGAATTCATAATGATACCCTGGCTGGCGGCTCGGGGGATTGAGGGCTAGCCTGTGAACCAAAGGGTCGCTGGTTCGATTCCCAGTCAGGGCACAGGCCTGAGTTGCAGGCCCGGTCCCCAGTTGGGGGAGTGTGAGAGGCAACTGGTCGATGTATCTCTCACATGTCAATGTTTCTCTCCCTCTCTTTCTCCCTCCCTTCCCATCTCTCTAAAAATAAATAAATAAAAATAAATTGATAATAGTGAAGCAAATCCATCAGTAGTTTACAAATAAAAGCAAAAATAACAGCTTTTTAAAATCATGATCAACACGAGATACAATGATGATATAATAAAAATAGAATCTTGAAAACTATCGGTGTTGCAGATGCCTGCTTGAGACCATATGAAGTAGATGCTCTGAAGTGATGCCAAGTGTTAAGTATGAGCCACCATCCTAGAATATAGAATTAAGTATCCTTAGAAAACTTAAATGTTAGTATTCCTAAACACCTATTCTAATAATCCTTACTAACTCAAATAAGTTACTACTAAGTTGCTTTAAGTCTTAGGCAAAAATAAGGTCTAATGCTTGTTATTCATCAGAATTAAAGAAAGAACTCACAGTTTTAGATACATTTATAGCCCATCAGAGGACCCTCATGGTCCATCCGTGAACCTCAGACATACCCGAAGAATCTCTGAATTGGAGGAGGGAGGGTTAGATTATATTGTTTGATTATACATGTAACTGATTGCTTTATAACACTTTTAATTTCTGCATTAAAAATTAAACAGTGCTGGACTCTCTTGGCCTACGCTAGGCACAGAGCTCTTTTGGTTAATTGTGAATATGTGACTGCCAGGTTCCCCCTCGGGGCACCATCGGTAAACCTCAGTGAATTTGTGAAATAGCCTCTTCTGGTAGGGGATGTTCAAAAAGAGAGTCAGGGTGAGATGCTGACCAAGCAAGGTGCTCAGTGTAGCAACACCAGTTATAAAGGAGGATTCTTAAGAGCCACTTGTAGGAATTTGGATCTCAACTCTTAGAAACCTCAATTGCTACACACCTTAATTAGTATATCCACTGGAAATGCAAGACAACTATGTAGATGTTCTTTTACCCACAAACGATCCTAGAGTCTAAACAAAACCAAGTATGATTTGAGAAGAAAGGTTTCTTGCCTGACTAACATACATGGCTAATGGGAAGCTTTGTATCAGGTTTAGAATTGTCTGTGGCATGAACTTTACAGTCTTGTAACTATGGCCATATTTTTTTTTAGTTTTAAACTAAAAAAAATCCATTTCACATACTCCTTTGGCCGTGTTCTAGCAGCAATTTCATGAATGACAGTCTCATCCAGGTGCAGAATATAAGTTCAAATACTATTAATAACAGACCTGTGATTAAAATTAAATTTTGAAAACTCAATGACAGCTTAATCTAGGATATCAAGTAGCATAGTGCTCAAATGAGTAAAAGTTTTGTTTTAGAAATACTGAAAATTGTGGCAAAAAATGCTTTAAAAGAATATACAAGAATAAGTACTAATAGAATAGCTGGAACTTTAACGTCTGCTGTTTAGTCTTTAAGATGTATTTTTAGTCAAACAAATTGATAACTATTGCATAATTTTTTTTACTTTAAAAAAAATGTTTTTTCTTTTTTTTTAATTCTAGAGAGAGGGAGAAAGAGAGGGAGAGAAACATGGATGTGAGAGAGAAACATCAGTCAGTTGCCTCTCACATGCGCCCCAACCAAGGACTGAACCTGCACCCCAGGCATGTGCCTTGACCGGAATGGAACTGGTGACCTTTCGGTTTCCAGGACAATGCCCAGCCAACTGAGCCACACCGGCCAGGACCATAATAATTTTTTTTAGCTGCAGATTAATTGAGCTCCTTATAGACATGTTATTTATTAACCTTCCCAGAGATAGTCATGGCTCCTAATCTGAACCTATTATTTGTTCAGATGGTTGGTCAGATTGTTCAGCCAAAAAAAAGAAATGAACCCATCCATGGCCATCTGATTGATGTAAGAGCCTAGAAACATCTTTAAATGAGACTTAAAAAGATAAATTATGTTTCTCTTAAGAACTTTGTTTTGATAAGGCCAGGCTAGTAAGCCTGTCAAAGTGCTATTTTATTAATTTATTTTTCCCATAGAGATAACGGAAGGGGTTAGCATTCAAGAGGCCTAGGAAAGTGGACTGCTTTGATTTGGTTGTATGTTCAGGCTGGTACCATTAAAAAAAATCATCCTTGTGTTTCAGGTCATTTCTCGGCACACACGGGAGCTCCTGGGAATTGAAGAACCATTATTTAATCGCAGCATCAGTCTTCCCTATAGGGACAATATTGGCTTATTTTTAGAACAAAAAGGTCATACTGGGGTAAAATCTGATTCCTTGACCTTAGCAGAATTTGTGCAAACAGCAAGATTACAAGATTATGAACCACAAATAACTGTCCCTGACTTGAATGAGGCATTATATTATTCTGAGCCATAAGGAAAAGCCATTTCACTTAAGTTCGAAAGATCAAACTAAATTACTTGGGGGAAGAAGTATGGTCTTGCGGGGTTTTCTTTTTCTCCTCTTCCTTAAGGAGCAGAGTTAGAACTCCTGGCTCTATCCCTAGTTCTTCCACCAACTCCCAGCACCTCCCGGTTATTTGTATTTTCATTTAGCCTCAGGTTAAAACAAAGATAGCAATATTCTCTTTCTGGGTAATTGTAAGAATTTCCTGATAAAGTCTAGTAATGCATCTGGTGGTAGGAACATACTGGGTCTCCTGCCATCCCAGATAGTCCTCTCCAAAATGGAAAAAAAGAGAAACAGTTTTTTTGATAAGTCAGCATTAAGTCAGACTGTGATGCACATCACAGATGAGCTGCGTAAAAGATTGAAGACAAGGAAATCCCACCCTTTCATATAGCCAAGCAGACACAGTCCCTTACACAGTGTTAACTGTCTGTATCCAAAGGTAAAAACTTCTCACGTCTCTGTCACAAACAGGAAGTTATTCCTCGGGGCCAGGCGCTCAGGCTGGACTCCCACAGATTCATGGAGACCAAGCACCCTCCTCCTAGATGCTCACATTTCAGAGATGGCTCCAAAGCCCCTGCCCCTCCCCCCCAAAAAGTCAGTCCTGGGACACACAACTGGCAGAAGGCTTGTCCAGCTTTTTAAAATATTGACGTACATCTCAAAGACAGGGGGAAAAAGGATTTACAAGCTTTCTAAAGAAAATATTTTTAAAAAGAAGAGGAAAGCTCTTTTTCCCTTTTGGTATCAGAGAAATATTTTTTTAAATATATTTTATATTTGCCTTTATCCTTACAAACAGTGTTGCTTACGAAAGTACCCTTATGAACTAGGGTCTGAGTTGGTTTACAGGGCTCTTTTATGTGGTACTTGCCAGACCTTTATAAAATGAATTCAGGCCAGAATGTACCGATGACTGGACTGCTCAAAAGAAATTACAAAATACTTGTTATTGCTTTAATAACTCCAATTCCTCTCCAGTTTTATGGATTTAACTGCTCTTTTTCTTCCCACCCTCACTTCTTGATTCTAAAACCAGTACAGGGCTACCATAACCCTGAAGGACAATGATGTATCCTATCCAGTTCCCTACACCTGAATGAATAGTCAAAGGAATACACTTCTTTCTTTTTCTACTGAGAGAAGGAACAGTGCCTCAAATTAACATTCATACCAAGTGTTGATGGTTTTTTTCCCTCACCTGAGGATATGTTGTTTGTTTGTTTGTTTCTTTTTTGGCTGGTCATTTTGGGAGTAAACAATCTGCCCAGCATTCTTCCAGTTTCTTTTTTTTAAATGTGTTGATTTTGAGAGAGAGAAATATCGATTTGTTGTTCCGCTTACATACGTATTCACTGGTTAATTCCTGTACGTGCCCTGACCTAGAATTGAACCTGCAACCTTGGCATATCAGGATGATACTTTAACCAACTGAACTACTCAGCCAGGCCCCTGAAGATATGTTTTTACTGATTTGAGAGAGAGAAACATCCATGTGAGAGAGAATCATTGATCTGTTGCCTCCTGTATGCACATCAACAAGGGGTTGTACCCACAACCTAGATATGTGCCCTGACCAGAGAACAAACCCAATTCCTTTTGATGCACAGGACGATGCTCCAACCAAGTCACCTGGGCAGGGTTGAGTGTTAATTTGGCAATGAACCTAATTTTTTCCCAAATTGGGCTAACAAAATTTTATCTCAAACCATTCAATACCATTGAGTTTGCCTGACTCATAATTATGCAAAAAAGAAAAATGTAAATGATTAACCTAGGACCATGGTGGTTTACTTATGTAGTGAATCGTTTTGTTCAAAAGCACTTCAGCAGTTAGCACACAGTGGTTCTGTTCAGTGACAGAGCATGGTCAGTGTTGCCCTTTGTCAACTTGATGGCCACTGATGTTGTTTTATACTGTATTACAATTGACAAAGTATTTGCAAAACATACAAGGCAGGACCCAAAAAATGGAATTTATTTATAGAAAATTGTGTATTCTTACATGTCTAAACTTCAGTCACCTTTAAAGTACTCTCCATGTGATGCAATACAGCTATCGAGACATTTTTTCCACTGCTCAAAACAGTTTTTGAACTTGTCGATTTTCATGCCTTTTAGTGCTTCTGCTGTCTTTTTGTTTCACCTCTTCCACATCAGGGAAACATTTCCTTTTGAGGACTTTTCTCATTGGGGGAAATAAAAAACAAAAAGTTGCTTAGGGTGAGATCAGGTGAATAGGAAGCGTGGGGCACGGGGGTCATGCTGTCTTTGGCCCAAAAGTGCTGAATACTCAACAGGGTGTGGGCAGATGCGCTCATAAGTCACTCATAATGAAATGGGCAAACACGTTGAACGTCTTCCAAAAAAATTCACTGAAGCCAAACACAGCCTCTCACAATAACACCAGCTGGTATACTGACACAGATGGGTTCCTGGAACACTCACCTGGAAGGGGAAGCCTGTACCACAAGGGCCCCGCCCTCCAGAAGATAATTCCAGTTTTTTGAGGTCCCCCCTTGTCAAGAAAATAAATTTTCACTATAGAAACAAGATCTAGCCCTGGCTGGTGAGGCTCAGTGGATTGAGTGCAAACCTGCGATCCAAAGGGTCGCCAGTTTGATTCCCACTCTAGAGCACATGTCTGGGTTGTGAGCCAGGACCCTAGTAGGGGGTGCACCAGAGGCAACCTCACATTGATGTTTCTCTCCCTCTCTTTCTCCCTCCCTTCCCCTCTAAAAATACATAAATAAATCTTTTTTTAATATATTTACAAAAATTATTTTTAGTCATTTAATATAAATGCCAGCTATTTTTAAAAATGTTTGTATGGTTGCCCTGGCTAGGTGCCTCCATTGGTTGGAGCACAGTCCTGTACACCAAAAGGGTTACAGTTTCAATTCCTAGTCAGGGCACATACCTGGGTTACGGGTTCAATCGCCAGTCCAGGAGTGTATGGGAGGCAACCAATCAATATTTCTCTTTCTCTCTCTCCCTCTCTGTCTTTCCCTCTCTCCCTTTCAATAAAAACGTATCCTAAGGTGAGGATTTTAAAATAAATTAGTAAAATTAAATGTATGGTTGAAAATACTTTAAATGGAACAACTTCAATGATCGTATCAAAACAGTCATCTATAGCTGAAATAAGCATGAAATGAATCATAGTGAAGTTGTTTACCACACATTTTACTTCTCTATGTAAGATGTAGGAAAATCAAGCTGTATCATCTGTCAGCTACATGCTGCTACAGGAAGAGAAGCTAATAATATTACACCTTAAATTTAGCTTTTACAAATGAGATAATTTGTATTAACAAGGCTGTCATGGGGAAGTAGCTTCCTTAAATGTTTCAGGTTATGTAGTTTCATTTGGTAGCCTGAAAATCCAGATATACACATATATATACCACTGTAAAGGACCACCTGTTTTAATCTACATTTTAAAGAACCATCAATACAATTTCCTAATTCTTTAGTGCCTAACACAAGGCAAACACAATACAGTCAGGTGACCCCCACTGTCAATTGTGATGATCCAAGTACAACCGTTGCAAAGGGGGAACAAATTCTGATTCCTGACTTCTCTTCTCTCACTGGGATGGAGAGCCTGTGGAAGCCTCGGGCTGCTGTCCTTTGGTTAGGGGGATGCCAAACGAATCACAGTACAGATGGGTAAGGTGGCGCTGGAGAGCAGGGCAGGTTAAGAGGTGCTGGCTAAAAGGAGTTTTCCCGAGTTGCACAGCAGTCAGATCAAACCAGGGGAGAGTCCTGGAGTGAAAAAAAAAAATACTGTTACTATTTTGTCTGTTCAATACATCTGATTTGGCTGTAAACATTTCAAGAAAGGTTTCCTCTGCTTGGAAATAAGGTTCTTCATTTTCTACATCAAGTTAATTAAAATTCATAATTAAATCAAACATTCAGCTAAAACTACTCAATGCGTGGATTTAATTGTACTTATGACGCATTTTCACACGTTCATTTTTCTAAGTGCATTTTGGGAGGAATTCATAATTACGGAATGGTTATAATAGTAACATTGGCATCCTTTTCAGTATATTTCCCTTGAATTTAGGAAGAGAATACATAAAAGGATCTTGGACATTGGGAACGGAAAATATCTCATTTCTTTTCAAATATCCTCTTAAAAAATATACCCTCTTCAAGTCTATAGGGAAGGAGTAGACGTTATTAAATATACCCATGAATATCTTGCAATTTACCAAATGATAAAGATCACATTTCAAATTGGCAGAAAAAGAATTGGCTACTCTATAGTTTTAGGACAACTGGTTTTTGAAAATGAATAAAAGATGTTAAAAATCCTAAATGTATTAAAAATTCAATATTTTAAAAATAAAATCCTGGAATAAGATAGAGAATATTTCGGGATGAAGAAAGTCTTTATGACTTGAAACCCTGAATCCATAAAGAAGTGATTTGACCATTATGACTACAAAAATTAGAATCCTCTCAACAGCAAAATAGACCCCAAAAAAGAGAAATAATATGAAAAACATTTCCAATACTCAAAACATATTCCTACTGAAAACCTCCTACAAAACAATAAATCAAAGAAAACAATCCACATGAAAAATAGGCAAGAACATAAAATGACAATGAGAACACAAGAGCAGCAAGCTTGGAAGCTGAAAAGAATATGGACAAGCAGTAACACTGAGCCAGTGCCCAGGCCATTTACGTCGGAGAACCCACAGAAGACTCAGGAAGTCGTGAACCAAGTACATCTGAAGTGGGTGCAAGATGGCCAAAAAGAGGATGATGGCTTAAACATCTTAAAAGGACAGAGACACCCCTCCTCCCCCTTCCCTACCCAACACTGCCCTATCAAGAGACAGGTTCTCCTCCTCCCTAACAGAAGCTTTACTCTCTGGAGAAGGTCCAACAAAGGGCCTCCAGACAGCGGGACAATAGGCACCACTCAGGGCAGAGATATGCAGAAAAGGGGGAAACATATTGGAAAAAATATAAACTGAAGGATAAGACTACTGTTCTCCCTAAACACAGCTTCCTTTCCCCAAGTTGAGGCCCAAAGATTTAAAGATACCAATATTCAGGGTTTTTGAAGGAAACAGCTACAAGGAATTTTAGCAAGCCAATTTTTTAGTAATGAGGATCTTAAAAATATGAACTGTCAAGATTCTCCATGTATTTGAAGAAAGCCTCTAAAATGAATGATAGAGATCAAAACAAATGATCAGGAAAAAACTCAGAAAAGAAAACCCTCTATCAAAGGGATAGGAGATGGTATCGCATAGTAAAATTACAAGAGGATGCTAAAAACAAGGTAATTGGAGACTAAAAAGAAAAATCTTTGGCTCTGACCATGTAGCTAAATTGGTTAGATCATCATCTGGATACAGCAAGGTTGCAGGTCTGGTCCCCCGTCAGGACACATGCAAGAAGCAACCAGTGAATGCATAAATAAGTGGAACAACAAATAGATATTTATCTTCCCCCCTCTCTAAATCAACAAATAATTTTTTTTAATTTCTGAAAATCAAAATATAGCACAAATGAAAATAGGCTCCAAGTATGACAGCAAAAACACTATAGATGAGGAAATCTCTCAGAAAGCAGAGCAAAAAGACAAAGATACTGAAAATAGGAAATATTTTTAAAAATCAGAGGATTAGTCCTGAAGGTCCAACATTTGACTAATAAAATATTCATAAAGAGAAAACAGAGGAAATGGGAGGGAGACGATTGAAGACACAATTGGAGAACTTTGACATCCAGATTGAAAAGGACCACTGAATATTCTTTTTTTTTTTTTATGGGTAGCAGTTGCTTGGATATTTTCTTTACCATAATTTATTAAACTGTGTATTTATGAATTTATGGAATATGCATTTTTCTGGGCATGTGTTATATTTGACAATATCTTTTTAAGGGAAAAAAAAGAAAGAAAAACCCCACCAAATGCCAATGCAGTGAATTAAAATATAGGGTCCAGCAGAAGTAACGCCTGCTTCAGTGTGGTTGGTAGGGTAATAATGTAGGTGATTAATTTATAGTTTTAATTTGAACATCTCACCTAAAATGTCATATGGTGTGCTTGAGTGTGACATTGTTATGTTACAGAATTACATGCTTAGGATTTTGTAATAGAAAAGGGGTGTTATTTGTGCTGGACCCTGTAGATCCACATCATGACACATCATAAAATTTCAGGACACTGAAAGTAAAAGATCCTATAAGCTTCCAGAGAAAAAAAGAAACAGTTTTCTGACAAAGGGTAGATTCAAAAATTAGAATGACACTGTGCCTCTCTCTCATTAGTAACTCTAAAAACTGAAAGACAATGGAGTAATGCCTTCAAAATTCTGAAGGAAAATTATTTCTGACCTAGAATTCTATGCCTGGCTATGTTTTCAATAACATATTAGGTTACAATAAAAACATTTTCAGACATAGTCTCTGAAAATTACTTCCTATGCACCCTCTTCTAAAGAAGCTACAGGAGGAGGGCCTGACCCACCACAGTGAAGGAGTGAACCATGCCAGGGAAGAGAGATCCAGGAAAAGAGATCCCACATGAGAGAGCAGTGAAGGGAATCCCAGGATAATGGGGATGGGAAGTCTCCAAACTGAGCGTATCACGGGCCATTGGTGATTAATTAGAATGCAAAAGAAGGAAGAATCAAGGATTCTTCCAGGGGTCTGGCTTGAACCACTGGTGAAGAAGCCTGTAACTGGATGAGAAACAATGGAAGAGGAGGTATGAGAGCAGGGATGCTTTGGACACACTGAATCTGAGTGGAGATAGTGAGTGTGAACATACCAGGGCAAGAAACTGACCTCTAGGCTGGCGATACAGACTCAGTGGTGTCAGTGTGAAGATGGCAGCCCCGATCCCCACAGTGGAGAAGATCACCCAGGAACCAAGTGTAGAATGGAAAGGAAAGAAGGCCTAGGACAGAGTCCTGAAAACTCCAGTGTTAAGGATGGGGCAGAAGAGGGGGTGGCAACAGAGGGGCCGGAGAGACAGGAAGAAAATGAGGAGAATGTGAAGATATCAGGAAAGTCAAAACAAGAGATTGCTTCAAGAAGGATGGCATGTTTGATAGTCAAGGATGAAAAGGAATTTTGTGACAAAAGGGCATTGTAACAAGGGCAGCAATTTTTCCCATTAGATTATCAAATATTAAACATTTTACACTCTCATTAGATTACCAAAGATTAAACAATGCAGCCCTGGCTGGTGTGGCTCAGTGGATTGAGTGCTGGCCTGCGAACCAAAGGGTTGCCTGGTCAATTCCCAGTCAGGGCACCTGCCTGGGTTGTGGGCCAGGTCCCCCAGTAGGGGGCACACAAGAGGCAACCACACACTGATGTTTCTCTCCCCCTCTTTCTCCTTCCCCTCTCTCTAAAAATAAATAAATCTTTTTTAAAAAAAACCTACAGCAAATATTATTTAAAAAATAAACATGCAATGATACTCTCATATATTACTACTGGAAATAAAAATAAGCACCACGTTTTCAATAAGCAGTTTGGCAATGCCCATCAAACAAAATATATATATTCTCTAACCCAGAAATATTATTCTAGCTATTCAACAGAAATAGTGGTCCCAGTATGCAAAATAAGTACAAGGATGTTCAATGCAGCCCTTTATGTAAAATTTGGGGTGGGGGCACTACATTATCCTCAAGAGGAAATAGGATGAATAAATTTAATTAAATGTATCAATGGATGCTAATGCAGTTGCTCACACATGAAACTGATACGATTGTACTAACGAAGAATGTATCCATGAAATAATAAGTAAAAATGCAGTATATATAGTCCCCATGTTTCTAAAATGTGTATCTAGATATAGATGTACATACTTTAATATAATAATAGTATAAATATGTCTGTAAATCCATACATAAAAAGAAACATAAAAACCATTAGAGGGAGTCTATGAAATGGTACTTGTGGAGAAAAGGAGAGGTTTCACTTTTCTTTTCACAAGAATGTATTCTTTTCATAAATTTTCAAACACAACATGGAAGGAAAGAAGCAGCAAAACATCTGCCAAGACAACAGTGTGGGAGGAATGAGAATGGCCAGCCATTATACCTTACCTTTTGTGAGGCAGGTTCTCAGCATAGACTTTGCTGACAAAATCCCGTAATTGAAATTTTGGGCAAGATGCTCTGTCCTCACCACAGTCCTCAAAGTGCACAGAGAGGAACAGCTCATTCAGAAGCTGCAGCGCTTGTGAGTGACGCATGGCCTTTGCCGTACAGATGTTTAGAGCTGCATAGAACACCCCCTCCAACCACTTGATATTGAGGATTATTCCGCCTACACATCAATGACAAGGGAAAGACCAGTTAGTTCCACCAAAAGGTTGGCAGGGGACCTAGGACAAACCCTAGGACTTCGGACACTCTTCATGCTTTTTTCCAGGACAAGTTGGTCACAGGAACCTCAAGATAAGCAAACACTCTCCCTCACCCCTGACCTTTGATAACATACAGCATGCCGACCCTGCCACCGTAGGACAGGTATGACCAATGTGGACATTGCTAATGGCAAAAGCACCTCTAGGAATTTCTAGAATGACCCCTGCCAATAAAAAAAGAACTAGGGAAAACTGCAGATTAGAGCAGGGAAAATCCATGTAGTCCTAGACGCTGCCTCCCTCCTGTTTATTAAATAAGCTCTCCCCTTTGGTGGTTTCCAGTTCATCCTTAAAGGGTCCAAATATTCAGACTTTTCAGCTTTCCCCTATTAGGACTGTTTTTTTGCCACCAAAGCTGTTTCTGTACAAAAACTAAATAGCTGGGAATGTATCTAGCTTGTACTCCTCCCGCACTCACCCAGCGCACACACACAGGGGTCTAATAAGATAACATGCCAAGAGGAAGGTAAGTTTTTAAAGGGCCAACATGAGGGCAAGCCATTACCAGCAGAACTGTAGGGGCAGGTAGCCTGAAGAACCACGGGATCCTGAAGAGCCACTACGATTTCCTTATTGGCCCCCCAGACATTGGCAAAACCTTCTAAACACTGATACTGAGGCCGCAGGATATTGGTGTGGTTTAGTAGGCTTTTCAACCTGAAAGTAAAGCCACCAAGACATGGAGTACAGGGCCAGGATTGAAATAAGCCACATGATCTACCGAGTTAATATGCAACCCCAACAAAAGACACTGCCTCCCCGCACATCACCGGTATGGGGCCGCACTGAGGGCACTACTTACCAGTTGGACTGTTTAGCCATGTGCCTAACCAACACTTACTGAATGTTATCACTGCCAGGTACTGGCCTAGACACTGGGGGTATGAAAATGACATTTGACATGTGCTCTCAGTCACTCTTCATGCTATTGACTGATGCACAAGGGGAACACGGGTCAGCTTCAAAGGACGAAAGGCTATGCTCTGTTGCAGTGCTAAACATGTGCATGTCAAAGAAAATGTCCCACCCACAGATGTGGGATGATGCTAGAAAGGACGGCTGGGTCCTTCTGCAGGTGAAGCCACTTCTACCTTATCTACTGGGAACGGCCACCTGCAACAGGCTGGGTGGAGGTGGGAGGCAGAAGCCAGGGCTGAGGAGACAGAGCACGCTTGCCAGCTCTGTGCTCCCCCTAATGAGATACCTGGGTATTGGGATGGCAGCTACAAAGCTGTACACGATGCAGGCTTTTTCCAAGCTGGTTTGTATGTCCGTGCAGATACTGGGCAGCTGAGAGGGCAGGCAGCAGAGGAATACCACATTGGCCCAGCCCGCCAGATAAGTGTTACCGTAAAAGCACTGGATTCCCAGTTTCTGGAACTCATCTGGAAGAGGTAGAGGAAGACAGGAAGATCACAGTACAAAGGAGTTGCACTTGAACATCAACTGTAGGGAGAGGAAGACAATTATTTTTATCTCAACTCCTGCGGTCACATACATGAGAAGAGGTTCCCTCATGCGGTCTAAAACCATTCAGCAGTGCCCTACCCCCATTGCTAAAGCAGTTGGTGCCACTGTAGCAGTGCTTGAGGTTTTAAGACAATTTGTCCTTCTCTCAAAAGCTAGAGCTTTTCAGACTTTTTTTTTTAGGAAGAAAAACCTCCGAAAGAAGCCTTCTGCTCCAATATATCATGTGCCAGATAATGTACAAAGTACTTTATATGCATTATCTACAGGACTCCTCCTAAGGACCTTATTATTCTTATATTATTGATGAGGAAACTAAGTCAAGAAGTTATGTGACTGGCCTGGAATTACATAGCTAACCAGCTTGAGCTGGTAGGAATGACTAAGTAAGAAAGTGAAAGAGTGTAGGGTGGAGGCTGGGAGGAGATTGGGAAACAACAGGGTGGGATAAAAGTAGATTTACAGTTGTGAGTACACAAGACACAGAGTTTATTCTTGTATTATTACTTACTGATTATTGTATTCTTTTTTCATATGAACAACTGTAAACCTACTTTTGCCCTGCCCTCTATACTTATAGTTTCTGTAAAGCATATACAATTTAATGTTAAGATATCTATAAAGGTAGAGAGAAATGTGATAAATCATGTAGTTGCATAAAAACACCTCTTGGTAGTTAATCATTTGGTGTACTTACTGCCATATGTATTTTCAAAAATAAAAATGTAAAGTCATATGGTAATATGTCTTAAATGTTATTGAAAAAGAGAGTATTAGACATTGGAGAGGCTACTTTCTATCTTAATTACCAAGAGTAGATGATAAATTTGGTGCTGAGGTTATCTGGGAATGCAGGTACTTACAGAGAGTAAGTTTAGAAAACATGCACATCTATTCTTCTTTCATATGTAGTTCTCAAAAGTATATAGAAGCTGATGCTGAGCAATTTGAATTCTTGCTTCCTTATACAACATGCAGTGACATTCTAAATCACTAACTTTATTATTAATAAACATATTGTTTCCCAAAGAGTATATGCATTTTATTGAAATATAAATACTAGTCCTATTGATAAGACTTTTCAAATTTGCCTCAAGTAATAAAATTTTAAGATTTCCTTAATATAGAAAGAATATTTACAAATTAATGAGAAAAATATAGGCTGCCAACAGAAAAATTGGACAAAGAAAACTCCAAAAAGACAAAATAGCAATAAACCTATGAAAATATGCAACAATTATAGTGATCACTAAGGAAATATTAAAATAAGAAACATACATAATAAAGGCCATATATGACAAACCATCTGCCAGCATCATACTCAAGGGGCAAAAATTACAAGCATTCACTTTAAGATTGGGAACAAGCCAGGGATGTCTGCTTTCACCTCTCTTATTCAACACAGTACTGGAAGTCCTGGCCACAGCAATCAGACAAGAAGAAGAAATAAAATTATAAAGGAAGAAGTAAAACTGTCTTTATGTGCAGATGATGTGATATTATACATAGAGAATCTCAAAGATTCCACCGAGAAACTGCTAGAACTGATAAATGAATTCAGCAAAGTAGTAGGATACAAAATTAATATCCAGAAATCAGTTCCATTTTTATATGCCAATAATGAACTAACAGAAAGGGAAATTAAGAAAACAATCCCCTTGACAGTTGCTTCCAAAAGAATAAAATTCCCAGGAATAAATCTAACCAAGGATGTAAAAGACCTGTACTTGGAAAATTATAAAACACTGAAGAAAGAAATTAAAGAAGATACAATTATGTGAAAGCACATACTGTGTTCATGGATAGGAACAATTAACATCATTAAAATATCCATACTACCCAAGTAATCTATAGATTCAATGAAATTTCTATCCAGATTCCAGTTCTGTGATATATATCTAACAAATATTACAAAAATTTATATGGAATTACAAAAGGCCCCACATAGCAACAGCAATCCTGAGAAAGAGGAACAAAGTTGGAGGAATCATGCTACCCAATATCAAACTATACTGTGAATCCATAGTAATCAAAATAGTATGGTACTGGCATAAAAATAGACACATAGATCAATGGAACAGAATAGAGAGCCGAGAAACAAACTTTAAAGTTGATTAACATTTGACAGAGGAAGCAAGCACATACAATGGGCTAAAGATAGTTTATTCAGTAAATGGTATTGGGAAAATTGGACAGGCGTGCAGAAAAATGAAACTACACCACCTTCTTACACCACACACAAGAATAAATTCAGAATGAATTAAAGACTTAGATATTAGACCTGAAACCATAAAAATCCTAAAAGAAAATATAGGCAGCAAAATCTCAGACATAGCTTGTAGCAATTATTTTATCAGCTATATCTCCCCAGGCAAGAGAAAGAAAAAATAAACAAATGGGATTACATCAAACTAAAAAGTTTTGCACAGCAAAGGAAAACGTCCACAAAATAATGGGAGAACATATCCACCAATACATCTAATAAGGGTGTAATATCCAAAATTTACGAAGAACTTACAAAATTCAACACCAAAAAAACAAACAACCCAGTTTAAAAAATGGGCAAAGGAGCTATGCAGCCAACACTTCTCCAAAGAGGACATACAGATGGCCAATAGACATATGAAAAGATGCTCAACGTCACTAATCATCCAAGAAACAAATTAAAACCACCATGAGATATCATCTCACACCCGTCAGAATAGCTATCATCAATAAATCAACAAACAACAAGTGCTGGGGAGGATGTGGAGAAAGGGGGACTCTTGCACTGTCGGTGGGAATGCAGGCTGGGGCAGCCACTGTGGGAAGCAGTGTGGAGTTACCTCAAAAAATTAAAAATGGACCTGCCTTTTGACCCAGCGATATATCCCACTCCTGGGAATACATCCAAAGGAACCCAAAACATTACTTCGAAAAAACATTAAGCACCCCTATGTTCGTTGCAGCATCATTTAATCACCAAGATATGGAAGCAGCCTAAGTGTCCATCAGTAGATGAGGAGATAAAACACCTATGGGATATTTAAACAATGGAATACTACTCAGCCGTAAAAAAGAAGAAAATTTTACCTTTGTGACAAATCACCCAGAGAACATTATGCTAAGTGAAATAAGCTAGTCAGAGAAAGACAAATACCATATGATTTCACTCACATGTGGACTCTAATGAACAAACTGAACTAACAAGCAAAACAGAGGTAGACTCATAGATAGAGAGCAGGATGAGCTAAGGGGTGGGGGGAGGGTGGGGTAGAGGGACTGAACAAAAGGAAAAAGGACTCATGGACATGGGCAACCGTGTGGTGATTGGGGGGTCAGGGGGGTATAATGGGACTAAATGGTAATGGATAAATACAATAAAAATAAATAAATTTTTAAAAAGAAAAGAAAAAATCAAATAAGAAACATTTAAAAGGCATATTAAACTAGTGATTTATAAAAAAAGAGGCTCAGAATTGAAGAGTGTCATGAAATTGGTGTTCTTACATAATGCTGTGAAAGTTTATACCTCAACAACTTTTTTGGAAGCCAGCTTGAAAAAATGTATTAGAAATTGTCTTCAAAAATAAAAATTTAAAAATTAAATATACCTACCATATGATCCATCTATTCCATTTCCATGTTTACCCAAGAAAAATTAAAGCATTTGTCTACACTAATATTTGTACACAAATTTTCATAGCAGCTTTATTTGTAATAGCCCACAACTGGGCACAACCTTAATGTCCGTCAACAGATGAATAGATAAACTGGGATATTAATACAATGAAATAGTACTCTGAAACAAAAAGGATATCAATACATGAGACAACATATTTCTCAAAATATATCTCTGAATAATTATGCAAAGTGAGAGAAGTCAGACCAAACAACAGTATAAACTGTACGATTCCATTTGTATAAATTTCTAGAAAATGCAAATTAATCCATGATGATAGAAATCAGATCAGTGGTTTCCTGGATGGGGGCTACAGGGAGGTAGAGAGAGAGGAAGTATAAGGAAAATTTTGGGGGTGATGGATGAATTCATTACCTTGTGTTGATGGTTTCACAGGTATTATACATGTGTCAAAACATCAAATTGTACATTTTAAAAATTTGCAGTTTATTCTATGCAAGTTATATCTTAATAAAGCTGTGCCTGTTCTTTGACCTAGTAATTTTATTTTAGAAATTGTGTATAAGGAAATCTAATAAGGCACAGTTACACAAATTATCATACAGCCATATTTTCTAATGCTATACAACTTTAAAAATCATGATTTTGAAGAATATTAAATAAAATGAGAATATGCTCATAATACATTAAGTGAAAAAGGAGAATACAAACAACTGTGTATAGTATCAATTATTGATATAATCTGATCTAATCAGAGAAAAAACAGGAAATTATATACCTGGTAAAGGGATTATAGGTAGTGGTTTTATTATTATTATTATTATTATTTACTCCTACAGAATAATTTTCTATAACATGCATATAATATTTTACATTTATAAAAATTATTGAAGCATCATTTACATACAGTGCAACATGCAGATCTAAACTATACAGTTTGATCATTTTTGACAAATGCATACGCCCATGTAACTCATACCTCTTTCCAGAACTAGAAGATTTCCATCTCCCCAAAAAGTTCCCCTAGGCCCCTTCTCCATCAATCGCCCTGGAAGCACCATTCTGATTAGTAAATGGAATCATTAGAAACTTTCAAAAATTGAGGAAATGTTATGTTAAAAAACACAAGGCCAAATGTTTGGAACTGCTTAACACCCACCAGACTCTAACTGGTCCAGTTAGATCTGAATTCTGTTTGGGAAGTTTCTCTGTATCAAAGACCCAGAAAGATATCTCACCACCAAGGGTACAAGGAAGAAAGATGGCTATGAAACATTTAAGTGGAGAAAAAAAATGTAAGGGACACGTTAGAAACCACCTTTCCAGCTTTCTCCAGGCCTAGAAAGCTGAGAATTCAGCATGCTGCAAGCAAGGATTCCCCTTTCGCAATGGCCTCGCCGCCCAAGCCCCCTTTCTACGGGACTCTGCTCCTCACCCAGAACTTCTGGCCTCCGAGTGGAGATCCGCAACTTCTCAGCAGGGACAGGGACAAGCTGAAGCAGTACACGAGCCAGCTGCTTCCCAAGATGGCCACCGCCAATGATGCCCACCTTTAAGTCATCATCATCAGGGGCGCTGGCAAGCGATCCAATCGAGAGACATCCGGAAGCTCGCTTCTCGTGTAATGATTTTCTGGAGAAAGAACACAAACGGAAATACACGCTCACCCTGGAGTTCTTCCTCCCTGCCTTCCTCTGATGTTCTCTGCTTTAACTTCTTCATATGGCAGTCTGGTGTCCCCTTAAGTCGTTCAGAGATAAGGCATTCCAATTATGTGCCACCTGTGCAAGGGAATGAACTGCTCTTCCTGAGTGAATTTTCCAGAATGTAAAGCCTATCCTTTCCAAGGACCAAAACTTGTTTGAAATATTTTTAAGTGAATTTTTTTTTTTTTTTTTTTTTTTTTTTTTGGTTACATGTGTTGTGCATTTCCCTGCCTTCTTAAACACAAGGTCTGGATGTTAAACTGTTTTTTTTGGACTCAGGGCCATCATTGTGAACGGCCACCGTTATGCATCATCCTGGAACACCACAGGCCTGTTCCCTGTCTCCTGACGGCAGACAGCTGTCAGGGTTCATTGCCATCGCCATGACTGGGGCAGCCTCCTACCACATGCCTGTGCCTTCTGGTTTGCTGTATCAGTTCTGCACAGATCCAGGAAACCGGTGACTTAGCTTTTCTTAACTGAAAGAAAATGGTTTATAGTAAGGGAAAATAGACTTGAGAAATGAAGGGTCAGAGATTTGAACACTCTCTTTCCAGAGATTCCCTTACTATTGGTTCTGGATGTATTTTCTCAGCCCAAAATGAACAAAATCTGACCGTAGAATACATAAGGCATTGTTTTATGTTGTTGTATGACAACCTTATATTCGTATTTCTGTGCAAATTGGAGTTTTTAAAAATTAAAGCTCAAAAAAATAAAATAAAAAGTAAAGCTCTGAAGTTCCCATCTAAGCATCATAAGCCACATTCTATTTAAAGCTGCTTGGTTTAAAGGGGAGTGTTTTCTCTCAGTGCCTGACCCTTATAAACATAAAACGCCTCCTGGAAGTTTCTCATATCAGTTTCTCACCACTCTTCTTGGATTCAGCCAATAGGTTTGTGCATCCTTATCAGTCAGCCAATCAGCAAACCCACTGAGCATCCTGCCTCCTTAGGTATATGCTGTATCTATAACATGTTCAATTCAGGTCTGGTTCCATCAACAAGGACTTAATCTAATTTCAGAGAAAAATAAACTGAGAAATAGACTGGGTGGGGGGCATGGTCAAATATTCCAAGAGTGACCTAGAGTTACAGAATCCAGGCGCTTAGTCCTAAGTGCCTGGCTCTCACATGACTTCTTATTTAAGTGTCTGAAACCGCATTGACCGGACTGAGAGCTCCTCTGCAAATCAGTATTCCTGGTTTCAAGCAAGTCGTCTGGCCACAGGGACTCCGAAGTCCCAAATGGCTTTCCTGTGAGGGAGCATTCCACTATAAGCCCCACAAAAAGGAACTCAACTCATTTTCATGGAATGATAGGTCACTGGGAGCTGTGGAAGACATGAGTGAATGAATGGATTGATGAATGGACTGATTGCTTAATCAACCCACTCACAGAAAGGAAATCACCACTAATCCATGCTTTATCATGGAACCACAGCTAAGGGACCCTAGTGTGCATTTCTCTGGTGTTTTCAGATCAGGAGGAACAGACAGTGGGTTGGAAAAGGTAGGAAGACACTTACCGAAGTTATCCTCCAATAAAAAAAGTTAAAGTCATTTGGATTCCTGGCAGTGAGATTCTTCTCCATCTGCCTTGCCTGACCCTGGAGACCTTGCTTACCTTAAAGTATGCAGTAGCTTACAGAAAAAGGCTGCATGGGCACAGGCCTTCATCAGCAGCCCGTGATAACGGCCCTGCAAATACAGCCAGCTGCGGTCTTCCTCCTCAATCCCGTGCTCAAACTGCAGGGACTCAAGGTCCTCTAGCATGTCCATTCCCAAGCCACCATCTCCTGCAGCGACAGAGAGCAATCAATTTGGCTCCTTGCCCTGGAAGAGAAGGGAGTCTATGCAAGAGGATGTGTGCGCCCGCGTCACCAGCTCCTAAGGGGAAGGGCTTCAGCACCTTTCTCCTCCCGGTTCTGCCCTTTCAGCTCTCATCGGCTTCCCTGTTTCAGTGTGAGTCCTGGAGAATTCCTCAACATTGCCTGTGAGTTGAGAAGACCTGCATTTGTGAAAAACCTGAATGGAAATCCAAAGTAATGTTCCTCCATAGGCATTTCTTTCAGCAGATGCATTTATACCAGCAATGGGTTTCACAGGTGCTCTTGGGCTAGAACTTTCTCCCTCCCATTTCCTCCTGTTTTACAAATAGGGCATGCTCTGACCGGTGTGGCTCACTTGGTTAGGTATCATCCTACAAACTGAAAGGTCACCAGTTCGATTCTAGTCAGGGCACATGCCTGAATTATGGGCCAGGTCATGGGATGTGTGAGAGGCATCTAATCAATGTTTCTCTCCCTCTCTCTCTCTCTCTTGCTCCCTTCCTTTCTCTCTAAAAATAAATAAAAAATATTTTTAAAAACAAAGGAGCAAACACTTAGACCACATTTCAAGTAAATTCTTTCCTTTCACTAAACTCTGTGTTCCCCTGCAGAATAGAAAAGAGCCCAAACTAAATGTCACGGTCCCTTGTTTACAGCGGGAAATCTCTTTAGAAAATGAAGCCAACAAAGTATAAGCCCATTTACATGTATCTCTCACCAACCCAGCTGAGGAGAAGGTGGCTCTACTCCTCATTACTTCTGGTCCTCAGGGGAAGAACTATATCTCCAGGAAGAACTACCCAAGAAAATTGTCATTATGACTCCTTAGCTACCAAATTACTGTCTAGGAGACTTAAAGGGGTCAGCCCTGCCTAGAGGTTTTCCCCACCTGTAACAGGAGGATGCGAATTCCTTCCACTTCTTCTAGAATTACTACACCAGGGCAGTATGGGATCCTCCTTTTCCCTACAGAAGGGTCTGGACTTCCAGATTTTTTTTTTGTAGACTGGGATATCATACAAATCTTAGCACTACTCACAGAGTTATTTTTCAAACCCTTTCTTTTTGTGTTCAAGAAATCAATGAATAAGGTAAGTTCTGGGGATCTACTGTACATTGTAGTGACTACAGTTAATAATATTATATTGTATACTTGAAATTTGCTAAGAGTAGATCTTAAGTGTTTTCACCACACACAAAAAAAGTAACTATGACATGATGGATTAATTAATTTGACTGTGGTAATCATTTCACAATGTGTAACCAATTACCATGTTGTACACCTAAATGTATATAATTTTTATTTGACGATTATACCTCAAAAAAGCTGAGGAAAAATCAATGACATTCAAAACTCTAGTCTATTTTATAACAATGGTGAAATTGAGATCAGAATTCAAAACTACTCATCTCTAATCTGCGTTTTGATTAACATTTTTATTGAGGTGAAATTCACATAACCTAGTTGATTAAAAGAGAACAATTCAGTACATTCAGAATGTTGTGCACCCTCTACCCCTCTAGTTTCAAAACATTTTTCATCCCCCTCACAAAAGAAACCCTGCCCCCATTAGGGAGTTATTCCCTACCCCACCTCCCAAACTGCCCCTGGCAACCACTGAGCTGCTTTTTGTCTCTATGGATTTACCTTCTCTGGGTATTTCACATGAATGGAATCACATTGTCTGGCTTCTCTAAAATACCTTTTATACGAGAGCTGTTATATCACTTTCTTGATCCCTTCAAAAGCAAAGTCTCCAGCACTTGAAGTGAAGAGCATGGAAATTGTCAGCAAGTCTAAGAAATACTTCCTCAGACCCAAACAGTGGGCACAACGTCCTAATGTTGCTCCAAAGGAAAGAGGAGCTCAAAACCTCCCAGCTCAGCATGGCCAGCGCAGCCCAGGTTAACTTGCACAAGTATGGCTGCTGGGCCTGTCCCTTCCGCATTTTCAAATATGGGGATCCAGTTGTTGTGGCTTTGTAACATGTCACGTGAGCTGGCTGACCTCCGTTTTCCAGAATTTCCTTCTATTCCCAGTTCGGTGTGCCACAGGAAGAGATTTCTGGAGGGTACAAGTGCAGGCAGCGGCCAGTTTGTGTTTATGCTGGTAAGGGACAGGCAGGCACTTTGGTGTCCGCTGGAGGCCGTTGCCTGTGGGGCAGCAGGTGGCCCTCCAACTGCTATACCTTCTCCCCGGTCCTCCTGCAGCGTTTCACACTCCCCTGCTGGGTCTGTTTTCAGCTCCACGGCAAAGGCCACCAGCTCGCTTGTCCTGCAGGACACTTACTTCATCCAAGTTTGGGAGCAGTGAGACCTGGCATGGGTTCCAATCCATACCCATGGGCTCCAGCTTGTCCTTGCTCTCCCCTTACTTTATATCCACCTTCCCTTCCCCACTGCCTGCCACATGGATTTGCACCTGTACCACCAGCCACGCAGACAACCTTCCAGAGACTGTTTAACTAACTGCCCTACCTGAGTAAGCTCAAACCCCTGTAATGAATCTCACATATATATTAGATAGATGGGCAGATAGACCACTACTCACAGTGGTCTCCTTCTCTAAATGAACCTTAACTGATACACTAGTTAATAAAGCTATGACTGTTTGAAGATCAGCCAGTAACTTTAGCAGTTTAGCAAATTATGCTGTTTCTTCAACAGCAAGAACAATAATTAGGAAAGGAACCACATATGAAGCTACTTGGAATTGGAGAGGGACTGCAAAGTGCAGAAGCAAGAGTTGGAGTCCAGCTCCAACTCTTTTCTACCTGGGTAGAAAAATCCCCCTTAAAGGAGGATTTCTCAGCATCAGCATTACTAACATTTTGGGCTGGGTAATTCTTTGCTGTGGAGTCTGTCCTGTGCATTGTAAAGATGCTTAGCAGTATCCCTTGCCTCTCTCCACTAGTAGCACCATCGAGCTGTGGAACCAAAAGTGTCTCCAGACATTGACACAGGTCTCCGAGGGGTCAACATAGCACCCTGTTGAGAACCACTCTGCCTTACATGCTGGGTGCCTCTGCATGGGCATCTCCTCCCCTTTCCACCGAATCCACTCCACGGTCACAGGAGCACCGAATCCTATGAAAGAATCATGCCCTCCTACGAAACACTAAGATAATGGGTCCAGAGGGAAAGGGACCCACCCACCATCACACAGCTTGTCAGTGGTAGAGCTGGGACAAGAGGCCCGGTCTTTTGTCTCCCAGCTCAGGGGTTTTTATTACCACATGGCCCCGCTTTCTCTAAGCCAAGCACCATTACTCCCTAACCCGACATGTGTTGACAGGCTGCTGAATGTACTCACCAAGACAGATCGGTAGTGGTCCCAAGAGACAGAGCAATTATTTATTTGTTTTGCGGAAAACAACCGAAGGGAAAAAGAAGGCACCAAGGAAGAAACAGCTTTATTAGGAGTCTCAACATGTCTGGGGAAACCCAATTCAGTCACAGAGAAGCGAGGCTAATGTTGGTACAGGGCGGGAATCCTGCATTACAGAACTTCCTCTTAAAAACCAAGTGTGAAACTAAAACTGCCACCTTACTACCCTAACGGGCAGCAGTGCTGCTGGGCGTAGCCTGGTGAAGCTTCCACACTCTGCTAGTGAAGTAATGAGATCTGTGCAGAAGGGGAGTGCTCCAGTGCTGCGGAGTCTAAGCTCCATGGAAGCTCCCGGGCTGGGGCGGGAGATGCAGAGGAAGAGACGATGGGGCTGTCCTCATCGCCCACACAGGCCGTCTCAGTCTGCAGTCCGTGAACAGAGGCGAGCCTGGGGCAGCAGAAGGACACTGGCTGAAGAAACAATGCCTGGGCCCTCTGTCGTAAGGTGGAGGGCTCCGTGCGGCCTGGTGCGAGGGCACCTCCAGCAGGTCCTGGCCACACCGGCACCCCTTCCTGAGGCCCCTGGGAGAGAGCCGTTTTGGTTCTGTTCTGACGTCATTCACAGCAGAACTGCCAATGTCCAGCACCAAGCCCAGGGTCACCATCTGCTGAGAGGAACTGAGGGGTCAGCCCGTGATACCTGCTCTAGACTTCCTTGGCCGAGCAGTCCCTTATCTCAGACCAAGAGCGATTTTGCCCAATATGGGCCCAGTGTAGAAATGACTCCCACCTTCACGTGAGCACCAGGTGGAGGGAATCTTTCTCACGAGTCGAAGCTTTATATCTTGGTCCTTAGATGACGGCCCTTGGACAGAAGATCAGTCGGAAGCTATCTGTGCCTGGGTGCTGGTTTCTGTCCCAAGAGTAGCAGGTGTGGCCTGCAGGTGATGGGCCCAAGCAATGGGATGCTGTAACTCTCCTAAAGAAAAGTGCACTCTACTCTCACGGGCAGAAAAGGAAGACACGAGGCAGGTTTCAGGGTCGCCGATGCCACTTAATTCTTCCATCGAATTTGCTGTGGGAGGAGGAAACGATGATCAGTTTGCACTCATCCCAACAGAGAGGTAGTGGGAATGCAATTAAACAAGACTCACAGCTACGTAGTGTAAGGAAAAGAGAAGAATGGAGGGGAGGGGGAGAATTTTAAAAACAATGAACTTTTAAAAACATTGCATGTGGTAGAGTTCATTTACTGATATATAAATCAGACACCTATTCTGTATCTCAAAAGCCTAAGGTGGGCATTTATTCTGGTCCTGCCCTCCTCAGGACCACGAGTCACTAGCTTCCAACAACCCCAGGGGGGGTCCCAAAATATCTAACAGGGAACTAAGGTTAACATGAACAAAAACCTCAGCAATTTTGTGCTATGAGAAACAAGCGGGCTGTGTTCCCCAAATAGCTAAAATCCATTTTACCCCCTTCTTAGTTCCAACAGGTAGACCATATCCATTCCCAGGATGTTCTGAATCTGTAACATTCATTTCTGTACTGCCAGCAGTTAGTCCCTCCTACCTGTTAGGCCTAACAACAAACGGAGCACTGCAGCTGGGTCTCGGCCAGAGGCGCCCAGATTACCCTCATATACACTCGATGCTACTTTGTGAACTGCCTGTCCCCTGCGACCGCTGGAGGGGAAGCTGTGGCTACTCACCGTGCTGCTGAGGGTGGCATCGATCTTCTCCTCCTCTGCGGACCCTTTATCCACCTTGCTCCTGTACGCCAGCAACTGCTGACGGTCCTTCAGGTCCCGGCAAGTCTGTACACCAAAGTAGACAAACAATAAACCCAAAATCAGCCTTCTCTATGAAGCTCTTTCGTTTCTTGTTATTCCCATTTGGAGACAAGGGTCAAGGAGAGGCTGGGCTGACAGCGGGGTGAAGGCCCCCACAGAGCTTCATGCTGGAGTGAAGTCTACAGAGCTTAAGTGGCTCGATTCAGTTCTGTGAATTCTCCAAGTGCAACAAATTAGTAAGAGCACAGAAACACCAGTCAGAGGGCTGGGAAGATGACACAGGAGTGCTGGCCTCCAAGCTCACTCTTGCCGGATCATTCTGTCCAGTAAGTCAAAACTGATGGCAGTATCTTAGGGTGCAGGACAGAGAACATCATAATACCCCACTCTCCACTGTGGGTCTAACTCAGGGTTCTTATTTCTTGGGAACTCACATCAATGACGACATCATGGCACTTGAACTTGATAGCTAAGTTCAACTTCGTGTCCACATCTTCCACTAGATTGACATACTCCTGTAATATCTGTGGGAAGAGGAACTTCTGATTAGTGATTCCCAGACCCATTAAACACAGAACGCTGAAAAGTGGGAAAGAAATCCTGAAGAAGACAAAAGAGTTTGTCTACAAATCTGATGTCTACAATTCCCATCTTCAACCACAGGACCAGTTCTGCGGCAGGAAATGAGGGGGGCCCCATGCAGCACTCCCATGCTCCCCCAGGAAAGAAGGGGAGAGAACGCTATTCCATAGCCGAGAGCTGGATACCCGGGCCAGCAACATGCACGCTCCAGATCTGATCCAGCACTGCGCCCACTGCTCCCCGATGTCCCTTCTCAGTGAGCTCTCCTTTTGTACCATTTCAACAGTCTGGCAGTACTCCACATGGGCTCAACACAGTAAATGCTCCTCAGATTACTTCTAAAAGGCAGAACTTCTCCCCCTGGCCTTTTCTATCTCAACACTGAATACAGTCATTGTATTGCCTTTAAGGGAAGAAGAGACCAGGTCAAGTGTCCTATCACGGACTAGTAAAAGGCTACAAGTTAGGTCTCCTAGAAGATCCTGCCCCTAGCTCTCTTTAGGAGCCATTACCTGGACAGGGGCATTGTTCTTGTGCAGAATTTCCACAACCCGATGGAAGCCAATGGGTGCTCTCTTCTTGGTGTAGCCCAGCCAGTTCTGAAAAAGATGGCTGTAGTAACTAAGCCAGACATGAACTCAACACACTCTGAGCTAGTCTCCTGCGTTTTATGGTCAGACTAGAATAAGGTGGTGGTGAGGGTGGATGGACTGGGGTGGGGGACAGGGAAATGGAGATGAGTTTTTCAGGAAAGTCAAGAAACTTGAGAGGGTGGAAAAGAGTCATATGAAATAAACTCTTAGATTGATAGGAACTAATGCAGAAAAGTCTGTGAAATACAGTTAAACGAAGTAAGTACTTTACTTAACAACTTATAGTGTGAACTTACCTGGGTAGAAAAATCCTGTCCTTTACATTTACATAAAGATGTTTCTTTGTAAATTCACAAGGAAAGATCTGAAAATACCCATCAACCTTTTAATGGTATCTGCTTTGAGGAAGGGAAGGAGATAGGAGCAGGCAGACAATGCAAGAGAAACGTCCCTCTTTATTCTTGATGCTTTCCCACAGTGTCTGATTTGGACCCAGGCATGTATTGCTTTGGTGGTTACTGTAGCGAATTATAAATAGCTAACAAAGGGGGGAAACAGAAAGTTCTCAAACCCATAATAAAAAAATCAATATTTAAAATGTCAACCAGTATAGACAGGACAACCAAATGCAAAGCAAGATCCTTGGCTGGATCCTGACAATGAACAAACACAAAAACAAACAAAAATAGCTCTTTAGAGCTATTTTAAATATAGACTTTACATATGTTAATGTATAACATTAATGTTAAATCTCTTGTAAGTGGTTACAAAGGAGAAAAATGCTTAAGCATTTAAGGGAGAAGTATCACAATGTCTAAAACTTACTTTCAAATGGTTCAGCAAAAGAAAAAAGCAGCCCTGGCTGGTGTGGCTCAGTGGGCTGAGCACCAGCCTGCAGACCGAAAGGTCACCAGTTTGGTTCCTGGTTGGGGCACAGGCCTGGAGTGTGGGCCAGATCCCTGGCTGGGGGCGGGTGAGAGGCACCCGACAGATGTATCTCACACAGTGATGTTTCTCTCCCTCTCTTTCTCCCTCCCTTCCTGTCTCTCTAAAATAAATAAATAAAATCTTAAAAAAAAAAAAGAATAAAGCATATTACTTTCTTTTTCTATGTGTATAGACATAGAAAAACGTTACGGCAAAAACGTTAATAAATTAGTGAAGTAGGTAAAGACTCTTAGTGTTCATTATACTATTCTTTCAACTTTTGATTAGGTGTAAACTGTAAAATAAAGAGCTGGAGGAAAAAAACGTAAGCCAGTCACTAGAACATGAGACTCCCAAGGCCTGAGGTACAAGCAGATGGCCTGTCTGACGCGCCAGCAGCCCGGAGCGGTTCTGGGGCACCCACCTTTGTGGTAAAGAGGGCATCCACGTCATGCCAGGCTCGGAGCTTGGCGCGGGCGGCCAAGGCAGTCAGCACATACTGTTTATCTGGGATCTAAAGAGCAGAGACAAAGGGAATTTAAGGGGAGTAGAACTACCTCAGGGGAGGTTCTTGAGAATCCTGGAAAAGGTAGGCAAAAATATACCAGTGTTGATTCTGCCCCTTAAATGGCCGTTGATCTCTCAGGTCAACAGCCCTTCGTTTCCCAGCCCCAGCGCTGCGACTGGCCGTTCAGTGAAAGCTTCGTCTCACTTCCCACAAACACGTTGCCTTTCTACCTTTAACCCTAAACTTGAAGAGACTTACTGCACAGGGTTACAAACAACATCCACTCCACTGGTACCCTGATACCGCTTCTACCAAAGCACTGACCAGTTGATAGGTATCTACCTTAAATGTCTTCTTCAGGTTGATTGGACTGCTGAATGTCCCCTAGGTTGAAAGTGGAGAAAGGATTTTAGTGTTACCGACTTTCCCAAATACCAGCCAATCTCCTATTTTCTTTTGTACTCACTAGACTTTCTACATTTTACTCTGTAACCATTTAAATCCAGAAATTCTTTTCAGAGAAAAGCTCCATCAGGTCTAATCAGATATCACCACAACCGAGCTTAATAGGACAGGCTTAGTAAGTATGGTGTTTTCCCCAATTTTATGCTAATCCAAATGGCCACTTGTGAACATTCAGTTTTTAAAAAATGGTTCCAATGTCCAGAGTTACCTGACACCCTGCTGCTCCTCTGTACACTGTGTTCAGCAGCTCATCTGCACTTACAGATGTCTGAACAGAGGCTGCTGCGGGACCGGCCCTGGTGAGGCAGCATGTGCTGTGCCAGCGCCCGCTCACGGGAAGCCACATGGGCCCTTACAACCTCTTTCCCCCTTGGCTCGCCCCTGCTGAGGGCCAGGAAAGCCTCCAGGGGGATTTCTGAGCACTATACGCACCTACTGTTAAGAGAATACATCAAAACACTAACTTCAAACCCTGTTCCTCTGTGCAGTGAGTGTGTGCAGTCTTTCACATGTGGCCTGTACCTCAGCCTCCGAGTAGTGGTAGAAGCAGGAGTAGAAAAGTGTCGTCACCAGTGGCATGTTGAGGATGGAAGCTTTGCGGGGGTGCTTCCGGAAGATCTCAGTCTGTCCCGCTAATTCTAGATGGCGATCATTTGCCTGTGGTAGAGTGAGCCAAGTGAAAAAAGGAACAATGCCCATGCTGCAGAAGCAGGAGAGAAACTTTTAATACTAACGTAGTTGTGCTTCCTGCCCTAGGAAAGAGGTAAGGAAGAGAAAAAGAAATTGCCTAGGATAATCCAGGGGAGGTTAAAAGCCAAAAACTGATAACAGATCCAGGCTGGATGTAGGAAGACCAAAGCAGCAGCAATGAGATGGGAATTCTTGGATCACAAGGAAATACTTCCAGGCTAACAGCAGGCGAGAAGAAAAAGGATGTTGAGAGCAATGGAGAAAGGGGGGCTACCGTGGAGAGGGAGAAGATGAAAGGCTCTTAGAGACTGTAACAGGAAATGATATATATGGGCAGAGCATTGATGTCTCTCAGATGCTGAATGGCACTGAGCTTTGGCACTGAAGCAGAAAACATAGATACGAAGATTCTAACCTCAATGATGATCTGACGTTCCAGAAGTGTGTAATGGTCTTGTATGTGTGCAGAATCTTCCGCTGAAAATGGCAAACTGGTAGAGGGCCAGAACGTTAGTACCTCTTCCTCTACTCAAAGAGAACACAAACCCAACTAAACCAAATCACTACTGTAAGCATATGAGGCGTATGGTGCTTCATAAATCTGATCTCAATTCACCTCTGGAGCATACGTAAAAGGCAGAGAGAGAATGGAGAAATAGAGTAGACCTTTGGATAGAATTTTGCATTTAAGGTTTGCCAATTGAAGAGGGATCCTGAAAGCTGACAAAATATATAGCCATTAGTGATGTTGTTGAGAAACAAATTAGAATCCTCTCATTGTGGGAGCTGTAATGTTTGGTGAATGACTCACTTAGCTAATGAGTGAGATTAGCCAACTGCCATGAAGGTTGTCCAACAATAAAATGAGCTACTCCCAAGAGCAGTGAGAGACCAATCAGCAGAAGAGTTAATGTGTGGGGTGGGATTTTACAGGGACTTACGTTCTGGGTCAAAGCCTATACTAAATCAGTGGTTCTTGGGGATTGGGGTTTCAAGGATCAGTAACATTGAAAACACTATCATCAGATAAAGTGTGGCCCAGTTTTTATTTTAATACAAATGATCATAAAAAAGAATTACAACCCATTTCACTACAGAAAAGGGGTGGAGGGGAGAGGAAAAAAATCCCAGAAAAAAAGTCAGTCTTTCAATTAAATAAATTTAGCTCTTAAAAAAGCTCTCTACACTGTCTTTATTTTTCTTAATTTACCACCAATCAATTAAGATTCTACTGTGGACTAGTATTTTGAACCAGTAAGATAATTTTTAATGACACTTGTATGATGCATTGTGCTAGCTTTTCCCTTCAACTCTCCATTCCACTCTCTCTTAGTCTTCATTCCTCTGCACGATAGTATTTATACTTAAAGACATTTCTCCTGCATACTTACCCAATGCACGTCTTCAGAAATTCTTTTCGTTTCTCAGGGTCTTGAATGCTTAAGTGCTCTCGATAATGGGACAGCTAAAAATAAAAATTAAAAGAAAACAGAAAGGCTTTGAGCTATTTCATCTCTTTAGAATGAAGAGGTATCTCCAAAAGTAGACTTTTCATGCTTAAAAACTAAATGCTTCATTATCAGAGATTTCTTCTTGGTACAGACTGGATGTGGGAGTTGGGGTGGGGGCCACCCTGTAATTGTCTATCTACAATTACAGCACGTAACACTGTAGTCACGAGTCACATTTGGCTGTTTACATATACATTTAAGTTAATTAAATAAAAAGAAATTCAAGTCTTTAGTTGCATTAGTCATTTTTTAAGGGCTTGTACACGTGATTAGTGGCTCCCGCGTCGGCCAGCACAGATATAGACTATTCCTATCATTGCCGGAAGTTCTGTTAGACAGTGCTGACTTACTCGAAGCATTAAGTAGATGGAGCACTTAGCTTTACTCTGAAGATTGGCTTTAGCTTCAGTATTTAACCAAAACCAGCTTTTGCTTCAGCTTAAGCCTTTGCCCAGCTGAAGGGCTAAATGCCTACTTCAATGTTATTTTTGGCATCCTTGACCTTGTACATGGATCAATGGTAGTAACATCACAAATAAGGCATGTCATTCTGATTCAATGTTGATAGCTAAATAGTCAATTCAAATACTGTAGGTTCGAAATGTAACCCTGAAAGAAAATCTTATGTGCTTTCTGTTTTGAAATTCTAAAATACAAACTCAAGTTTATATAATGCAATAATTAATGATGACTGTGAAAGTTGTAATTTTATATATAGTTATTAAAAACTCCCAAGAATTAAAAACAAACAGATCATCAGTTAGTATGGCTATTAAGAGAACGAGCCCTGGCTGGAGTGGGTCAGTGGATTGAGTGCCGGCCTGCGAACTGAAAGGGCACCGGTTCGATTCCCAGTCAGGGCACATGCCTGGGTTGTGGGCTGGGTCCCCAGTTGGAGGGGGTGGGGTGCAAGAGGCAACTAATCAATGTTTCTATTGCACATGGATGTTTCTCTCCTTTTCTTTCTCCTTCCCTTCCCTCTTTCTCAAAGTAAGGAAATAAAATCTTTAAAAAAAAGAGAGAATTAATTTGCTTAAGGACAGTATATCCTTTTAGAGCTAACAGGTTTTATAAGAATGTAAATGATAATATAAAACATAAAAACAGAGATTATATCATAATCTAATCTCTGTAAAATATCTGTTACATAATCATTTCTAATATTTAAAAAAGTGACCTTTAAGAGCTATAAATTTTTGGTGTTAAGTCTTTAAAAAAAAGTCCTACTTTGGAAATCTTCATAGACTACGAGGATAAATTAAAAGCAGACTATTAGCTTTGCCACTTCCAGAGTTTATAAGGTTAGAAAATTCAAAGTTATATATAGCAACATGCATGATAAATCATCCTCAATTCAAATATCACAGAGATCATGCAAAAAATAAGTTTTAAACTGAAATGAGTTACCCAAAACACACATTTATTTTTAATCAAAATTCAAAACAAAACACTTTATAAGAATGATGTATGAAAACAATTCCCTGTAGTTTCAAACCTGTGCAGAGTAAAAATGGACAAAAAAGCTGTTCAAAATGATTACTACAGGTTGCCAATCATTTTGAGCAGACTAAGAGAAAGCATTTCTGAGATTTTACCCTGCCATAAATATTAAGTGCATGTTCCTTTTTACAAAATATGACTAAAAAACATTTTCCTGAATTACATTCTGTTGTGCAAACAAGTTTAACAGCATCAGTAAATGTGCCAACTGGACATCAGCGCTGATGCCACCAAACACGGGCACCGCAGAGCCAACCAAACTGCTCTGTAGGGCTGGCGCTGGGAAGTTCTCGCCCCTGCGTTCTGTCAAAGGTTTAAAAACGGACCACTGAAGCTTTAATAATACCATTCAATTTTTGGCAAAATTTCAGATTTAGTCTTGTATTCCAGGAGTTCATTATATGATGATGAAAACCTGTCAAAAATCTATTTTAATACTCATTCACTGAGCTCTCAGCCAATATGAGTACTGGGTGTACCACCAGCCTGACCTCTTCTTTCTTGACCTTTACCTGGTTTTTTATCACTCTCAGCTTTCAACATTTTCTTTAGTATTAAAATCCAAAAGCCAAAAGCTCCTACAAACCAGGAGGTAAAAACAACAGAAACAACAAAAAACAAATTACAAATTGATGAGGCCAGTTTTCATTCATTTATTTAAAAAAATACTTATTTACAGCCCAATCAAAAGAACGTATAAAAAACAATAAAATAGTACATCATCAGGATTCCCAGATGTCTCTCTTTTCTGCGTATGATCAATACCAATGGAAAAGGAACAGATTCAGTCATTCTGGGATCCTGGAGACTGTGTTTCAGCTTAGAGTTCTGTTAAATAGGTCCCCAACTGAAATAAAGGCCACACTTACCGCAAGCTCTTCCGTTCTATCTAGGAACCTGGGAAGAAGCAGAAGGGAGCAGGGCATTTTTATCTATTGACATGTAGCAGAATAATCTCATAAAATAAGATGGCTGCTCTAGGAGAAACACAATTCTAACTCAACTGCCCCCGTACACAAGATAAGCCCTTGTTTTCTTCAACTTTCTACCACCAGCAACCCTTTGAAAACACATGGTGGATTAGCTAGCATTGTTCCCTTGACCTTTCTAGCTAAGCAAAAAGGAGGGACAAGAAGGCACGGCAGGGCATGAATAACTCTGAAAGGTCTGACAGGAAGGCTCAGACTCTACAAAACCTTACCCACAGTAATGTTATGGGTTTTTTGAGAAAGATTAAAGCACTCTTCCTGTCTCTCAATATACTCTTGAACAGATTTTCTATATCGCTCTCCTGTTTCCATGTACAGTGTAAAATGTGTTTTGTCTCTCCTCAAAGATGGTATGGCCTTGGAGAACAAGGACTTCTATGTCCTGTTCCGTTCTTACTCTGAATGGTCCACCACAGTTAAGATCACTGCGTTGGCAGAGAGAGGATGCTTCATAAAGCCTTATTGATTGGGAAGGAGGGAGAGAATGGCCTGCCTCCATAAATGTGTCTTCTGAAAATTCACAGCTAACCAGCTGCAATCTTGACCCTAACCAGGTGACCTGCTTTCCCCACCTTAGTCTTTGGGGCAGCTCATCACTGTGCTGGAGTCACTGGTAACCGCAGTTACCCTAGGCCACATGTCAGCCTCAAGAGAGGTTCCAACCCCTTCTCTGACACTGAAGAAAGAACATAATATACATATATTTTAATCTACAGGCAGGAAATAGCCCCTACTAATTGGAATGAGATAGGAGAGGAAAACAAGATAGAGGACCCCCCCCTCCCAACACCCTCCCCAACCCACAGCAGATATGCCTACCTCTTACCTCTCCACCAATCCTACCTAGTCTCAGGCCCAACTCAATTCCTAACCACTTCCGTAAGGCTATCCTCAGGAATCCTAACTGCAAGTTACATTTGCTCTTCCACTGTACTTTTCACTACCATCACTGGGGACCAAGTAATAAAAGAGACCTTCGTTCTAATTTTCTATTTAAAAAATGCTTAACAGATATTAATACTACGGACTAGGCATTATGCTAAGTGCTTTACACAACACTAACTCTTTTCATCTTCGTAATGATCCTGTGGGGAGGGCATCATCATCTCCATTTTACAGATGTGAAAACGGGTACTTAGACTGGGTAACCTGATCAAAGTCATTCTGTAAATTAATGGTGGAGCCGGTATTCAATGCAGGTATGTGTGACCCCAGAGCCTGGTTCTGAACCTCCTGCTACACTGTCCACCTTATCGCAGCCTGTGGTGCTTGTCAGCTATCCCATCACATTTCAAAATCTTGTCTAATAAGCATTTCCAGAAAAAACAGACAGTGTCTTCTCTCTTGGTATCCTACACAGTGCTTTGAACAAAACTCTTAATATACTTTATGGACCAGGTGATCAGTGCTTACCTGAAGAGGTCTAAAAGCAGCTTTTGATCCCCTATTTCCTTAAGGAAGTGAATGAAATGTCTCAGGGCAACCTGCCGCACCTCTAGCTCTCGGAAGAGGATCTCTGTGATAGGCAGGAAGAAGTCAGGTGGACAAAGGTCAAAGCCTGTTAATCAAGTGCGCAATTAATCTCCCTAGTCACACATCCCAAACATTAATTCCTCAAAGTTGATTAGAAGTGAGGAATGGTTTTCACGGTGTTCATCCCTATGGCTCAATGCACCATCAACACACTGCACGGTTCAGGGCAACTCTTGGCCACTGAGTCAGCTTTCAATTCTCACCAATCCAAATGTAAGGTACTTAGCATCAACTCTGACTTCCTCAAACCAACACAGCACCTGTGCATCCAGTAAATACAGGGGGCTTTGTAGTTAATGTAGTTATCACACTGATGGGTGACAACGGTCCTCGGAGACGTGATGTGTACTCTGAGGTCTCAAGCCAGCCCCGCCGTCTCTGAAGCAGACCTGATGCTGGTGAATTCTGGTATAAAAGCCACAATGCCTTTCTCCCCTCAACAGTAGCATATATCTTGCTGACTGGAGATGTCCCTCAAACCATGCTCACCTTTGCTCAATGTCCTCTTCAGGAATATCAAAACCTAGAGGAAAAAGAGAACAAAGAATGAATGACCCTATGCAACCTTTCAAACATAAAGCCCTGCCTTGTGCACCTGATGTCTAGGAATGAAGTCAGCAACTCTTTAGGCACCGCTGCAGGTCCAGGCACAGCTTTCTCTATGTGATGGCAGGACCGGCGGTGGACATCTGGAACTGAGCTGTGCCTTGGGAGTCTGCATGCCCCTGCCCACACTGGCAAGAGTTACCTCCTGCTCGCACATCTCTCTTCCCTCAGATTATAGTAGCCAAACTACTGCTTCTTGATTATAATCAGCTGGCAAGCGTTGCACACACAATGCGTGTCCTGCCAGCTGAGCCTTAAAACACTTATTACCAAGCATCCTGCACATCAAAAGGAAATTCAGGACTTTACTTGACCTTTACCCTGAAATGTAAAAGTCTATTCTGACTGGATTTTCAGAAACTAATGACAACAACAATAAACAACAAACAAACTCACTGCAGTAATGACGTTTCCATCATGCATGCTTACTGCTTCTTCTAGGAGTTGTAGCTTGTCCTGTAAGGAGCGGAATCTTTCCAGTGAGCAGACCTGGTAGAATAAAAACAGAATTCGTGTGCAAGGAAGAAGACCGTTCACAATTCTTTGTCACAGGATGCTGACGAATGGGCAAGAATGAAAGGAAATGTACGCAAGGAAAGCCACTTTACTTTAACACTACGGTCCCCAGCACAGTGTGAGACAGCAGGCTCCCACCACAGCCTCTCCAGTTAGCCTTATGCCCTAGACGATGTCACTTCCTGACGAAGTCTTGCCGAAGTCAACAGGTGGACACTGCCTCTTCTTTTTTAATGAGGTATAATTTACACACAATAAAATCTACCCTATTTCAATGTACAGTTCAGTGAGTTTTGACAAGTATATAATTCCTTGTAACAACTGCCACAATCAAGGTACAGAGCATTTCCATCACCCCGGTAAGTTTCCTTGTCTACTTTGATGTCAACAACCTCTTCCCATCCCCAGCCCTGGCAACCACTCATCTGTTTTCAGTCACTAAAGCTTTGTCTTTTCTAGAATTTCAGGAAAATAGAATCATACAATATGTACTCTTTAATACCTGGCTTCTTTCAATCAATATCTGTGTGTTGTGATGAGTATCAGTAGCTTGTTCCTACTTATTGGTAAGTAGTTTTCCATTGCATGGACACACTACCACTTATTATCCATTTTGCTGCTGATGGGTATTTGGATTTTCACTTTGTGGAATATTATGAATAAAGCTGCTATCAACATTTGTGTACAAGGCTTTGTATGGACCTGTTTTTATTTATCTTGAATTTTAAATTTCTAGGGTGAAATTAAAGGTACAATTAACTTTGTATGGAATTGACAGACTATTTTACAAAGTAGTTTTACCATTTTACCTTCCTGCTGGCAGTATACAAGAGTTCCAGCTTCTCCACATTCTCCTATTATTTGGTATGATCAGTACATTTAAGTTTATCCATTCTAGTGGCTGTAAAATGGTATCTCTTAGTGTTAATTTACATTTTCTTGATAACTAATAATGTTTATCATCTTTTCAATTGTTTATTGGCCATTCATAATGTTTTTGTGATATAACTGGTCAAATCTTGTGCCAATTTTTTTTATCCTCACCAGAGAACACCCTTTCATTGCTTTTAGAGAGGGGAAGAAAGAGGAGAGAGAAACATCAACATGAGAGAGAAAAGCATCGATGCCCCCCGACCCCAGCCCCTGCACGTGCTGGACCTGGGATCGTATATGCTTGGACTGGGGATCAAACCCACAACTTAGGTATCTGCCCCAACTGGGAATCGAACGCACAACTCTCTGACTACAGGACAAAGCTCCAACTAACTGAGCCACACTGACCAGGGCTCTGGTTCTTTTTTATTGTATTATTTATCTTATTGCTGAAAATAATTCATTATACTTTATATATTCTGGATCAAAATCCTTTATAGTGTATATATTCTGTAAATATTTTCTCCTAGCTATGGTGGTATTTTCATGTTTTTAACAGTGTATTCAAAGATCAAAAGTTTTTAATTTTGATGAAATCCATTTAATCACTTTTTTTGCTGCTTGTTTTGTGTGTGTGTGTGTGTGTGTGTGTGTGTGTGTGTGTGTGTGTGTCCTGGGTAACAAAAAAAGATTTTCACCTACATTTTCTTCTAGCAGTTTTATAGTTTCAGCATAGCATATTTAAGTCTATGATCCATTTTGACCCATTAGTTACTATGATGTCAATTTTCCCAAAACTGCTCTATAAATTCAATGCAATCTCAATCAAAATCCAAGAACTTCTTTTGTAGACATTGACAATCTGATACTAAAATCTAGATGGAAATAAAAAGGGTCTACAATAGTGAAAACGATCTTGGAAGAGAGAAACAAAGTTGAAGGACTTATATTACCTGATTTCAAGGTTTGCTATAAAGCTACAATAATCAAAACTGTGTCAATGGCATAAGGATAGACAAATCAATGAACTAGAATAAAGAGTTCAGAAATAGACCTAGACACATATGGTCAATTGATGTTTGACAAAGGTACCAAGCTAATTCAATGAAGAAAGGACACTTTTTTTGAAAAATAGAGCTGGAAAAAATAAAGAAGTACATGAGAAAAATAAAAAATGACCCCAATCTAAACCTCACACCACATACAGGGCAAAACTAGGTTTACAGCTGTTCGTATGGAAAATAATACAGTAATTAATAAAGAATACTACAAGGATAAACTCCGTTTTGCATACTCACTCCTGTAAACGTACTTTTGCCCCACCCTGTATAAAAGTTAACTCACAATGGATAACAGACCTAAACATAAAAGATAGCTCTCATTCTTAATAGTACTTTCCCCTCTCATTCATTGCTGGGAAACGCCCTGTCTGGTTTCAGGAACTGTAACCCCACCCATAGGCGGGGGCGGGGGGGGGGGCGGGGGGGGGTGCCAAGGCTGGAAATAATCAGGGAGGCCGTGGAGGAACAGGCCCCTGAGGAGACATAACCTGCCCCTCTGGCAGGGGTGGAGCTCCTGCCTCTCTGCTTGGCCCTGTGATGGTCGGTAATCCATGAGGGGTAAGTTATCTCACGCAGAGATAGCAACCTAAGACAGATATCGGCCAGTATTGGCACAGACAAAAAATTGGGGGACACAGAGAAAGGGTAAAAAGGCCCGCACCCCTCGGCTCGGCTTGGACATGGCCGAAGTCCTCATTCTATCCAAAAGAAGTCTCCTTGTCTCTTGGCGGTTGCCTCCCCCGGCCTGGGTCAGGCTCAAAACAATACCAGAGACAGTCCTAAACTAAATCTGGCGGTTCCCAGGGTAATCAGGCCTAAAAGTAAATTCTTTAAAGTGTGCTTTGTTCTTCCTTCAGAAGCTATAGCCAGCTCAGGCTGGGAAGGAAATTTACATTATTCACAGACCCTATCCTTATACCCCTGGGCACTCTTTATGTTTACTACGCTCTCATGTTTAGTCTTCTCTCCTGTTTACTAGTCTCCTCTCAGACCCATGTAAATCGATGTGTTCCTATCGTTTGTTTTCTTCAAAACGTGACCCATTCTCTCTGAACATTAACCTATGGATATAATGAGATAACCTGTACATTCCTGTTACCTGGCCCCACTGATAACCTTGTCAATAAAAGCCTTTAAACAAAGGGGCTCTGGGCCTTCCCCACTACAGGGATGTGTCCTCTCTCCTGGCAAACAGAAAAGTGTTTGCGACGACTCGTGTTTATTCCCCCATCCGTGACACTTCTGGGATGGGCTCTGCGGGATTGAGTCCCGGATCCCATCTCAGCGGGCCTGGACGAAAACCCTCAGATCCCGCAGTGACGCACTCCGACCCCTCACGTGACAATTCATCACGCTTTCCCTATTACTCTGTCAAACACTAGACCCTGGAGAATCTCAAATTTTTTAACTGATTGTCCATCTTAGTGAATTTATCTTCCTCTTGAAAACCACCTCATTTAACAAATAGAACTGAAGAGAGAGGCCAAGAAACCCACCCTGTGGGAACCAGCTTCCCAAAAAGGCCCACAGGACCTCCCTCTCCAGGGGCCTTACCTTGCCCTTCCGGAGGCGGCGCACCGTGTCGCTGGGGCTCCAGTCGTTGCTGTAGTCCTGCAATATTAGCAACGCGTGATTCCCAAGGATGAGCAGTGTGTCTCATCTCACACTCACCGTCTTACCCCCTAAAGGGGAAATGTTTTGTGGGAGCAGATGGATGAAAAATAAAACGAACTGGGATATTCTTGTTCTGAGTTTCTGAAGGAACTAGAACAGGCAATATGAGCAGGAAGTGATGAATCAAAGAGGAAATGAACCAAGTGACAAAACCAGTAACCCTATGCCTATTGGTACAGGATCCAACCTCTAGATGCAAACAAGCCCCTTTTTGAGACTCTAATTAATAGCTATGCCAGTATAAGGAAAGAGGGAGGCACGTTCCTTTTCTGGACCTTACAATATAGTTTTTTCCTTATGAATCCATTTGCTTTTTTATGTGCTTCATGAGACTATGAGTTTCACCAAGTTGCCAGACCACACTGATGATCAAAAGGCAGCATAATGGGGAAGGAAAGTGTGCTAGGATTGAAACAGAAAACAACCACTTTTGAGTCCAAAACCATTTACTAGCTGTGAGACCCCAGGCAAGCCCTAATGTTTAAAAATCCAGTGTTCTTATCTATAAAAAGGGGGTTAAAATAACAGGTGCTCAAAAAGTTGGGAAGATCAAGCAAGATAATGTATGTCAAAGCACTTTAAACTCTGTAAAGGGTCAAACCAGTGTAAGAAATAACTCACCCGATACTCCCCCTTGGGTCGCCCCAGCTCTGGAGCGTAGCTTTTGGCAGGAGTGTCAGAAAGAGCTGAAAGAGAACAGGCAGCTGGTTCAGAAGGACACCATCATCTTGTCATTCCTTTCCTTGACGGCTTCCTTCTTGACTTATAGGTTCCCAAGATACTTTTTAGGGTCCGAAGTAGATCTTGGTTCCTCCCTAAAGCCAATGCCTGTAGAAGTCGCCTCTCTCCCTTATAACGATAATCTACCTTCTTACTCCCAATCAGAAAATGTCTCTAATGATGATGATAGATTCAGAAGAAATTTTATCAAACCATCTGATTATCACTTTTCTCCATGACTCCCCAGAACAGTAACATCTCCCAAAGTAATCAAGAAAAGAGGGTCAATACCTACCATCAGAAAGGGACTGGAAACTTCCAAGTCTAGTTCTCCCTAAAGATGAAAAACACATGAGGCAAGTTAGACCCATTCAGATTTGGTTAAGGATGTGGTGTGTATAAAACCTTATTATGCAATATGGGACCTCAAGGCTTAGAAAAGCTTCTATTTAATTTCGTAAATTTGAGAGGCTATGAAAGAGGTAGGGAGAAAAAATTTTTTAATTGTGGCAAAATATACATAACGCAAAATTGACCATTTTTAGGTTTACAGTTCAGGGGCACTGGGTGCATTCGCATGTACAACCTTCACCGTTCTCCATCTCCAGCAGTTTTCCATCATCCTGGCCTGGCCCCGCACCCATTCAGTACTAACTCCCCACTCCTCCTCGCCCCCAGCCCCGGGCAACCATTCTTCTACTTTCTGTTTCTATGAATCTGACTGTTCTAGATACCACATGTATGTGGAATCATATACTATCTGTCTTTTTGTGTCTGGCTTATTTCACAGCATAAAGTCTTCAAGGTTCATCCATGTTGTAGTATGTATCAGAATTATGTTCCTTTTTGGCTGAATAATATTCCACTGCATGTACATCTTGCTCATCCATCCATTAGTCAATGGATATTTGGGTTATTTCTACCTTTGGCTATTATGAATACTGCTGCTATGAACATTGGTGTATAAATATCTTTTCAAGTTCCTGCTTTCAGTTTTTTTTGGTATATATCTGGAAGTGGACTGCTGGGTCATATGGTTACTGTATTTAATTTTTTAATTCTTTCAGGGACTGACACACTGTCTCCTACAGTGGCTACACTATTCTACATTCCCACCAGCAGTGCACAAGGGTTCCCAATAGCAATGCACAGGAAAAGGGAGAAATTTTGATGTAGGCAAATTTCTTCAGAACTTGTCACAGGGTTAATGCCAATTTTGTTCATGTTTTAGAAACACAGAACGATCCCTCTGAATTTCTCTCATTTCTCCCACTCTTGATCCCCAACTGCCAGCTGCAAACACAGTTCTTTTTCCTTCAATAATCTTCTTCCAGAGTAAACAAAAATTATAGCCTGAGCATTTTTTTTGAAAAAAGGAAAAAAGAACTCCCTGTGACTTCGACCATCACTTTTTACCTCTAAAAAAGCTGCTCAGAGAGTAGGTAGAAGCAGGTTTGGGTATCTGTGCATAGGAGGAGTAGCTGTTTCGGCTCTTCAGCTGTTCACGCCCCTCCTGGTTTGACCCACTACTACCAGCAGTCTCTTTGATGGACCAGGAGATACCTGTGAGATAGTAAGAACTGAATCAGTCATTCTTATCCAAATAAATCCTAGATAACAACCATTCCAACAAATTCTAAAAGCCTTTCACCGTGGCCCTTTGGTCCACATGGACTCCAAAAATTGGGACAGGGAAAAGGATAGATTCAAATAGACTAATTAACAGAAAAATGGACAAAGGAAATGAATGGATTGCAGAAAACAGAAATTCAAGTGGCTATTAAACACATGAAAAGCTGCTCAACCTCACTCTTAATAAGATACTTACATAAATTAAAAGCACACTGAGATACCACTGGTCCCCTCTAGGACTGGCGAAGATCCCAAAGTTTAATACTACCCAGTGTTGGCAAGGCTGGGGGGGGGACAGGAAGAACCCTCTGACATTGCTGGTAGGAGTACCAACCGGTGCAGCCCCACAAAGAGCAATTTGGCAGGGTCTATTCAATATAGACCCAAACACCCTCTGCCAATAATTTCGTTCTAGGACTTGATCTTTCATATGGTCACGTACGGGCAGAATGCAAGGTTATTGATAGCAAAATAAACACCACAAGATTGGAGAGAGTTTAAAGTTCATCAAGAGGCCCTGGCTGGTGTGGCTCAGTGGACTGAGTGCTGGCCTGCGAACCAAAGAGTTGCCAGTTCAATTCCCAGTCAGGGCTCACGTCTGGGTTGCGGGCCAGGTCCCCACTTAGGGGCATGCAAGAAGCAACCACATATTGATGTTTCTCTCCCTCTCTTTCTCCTTCCCTTCCCCTACTCTAAAAATAAGTAAATAAATAGAAATCTTTAAAGTTCATCAACAGTGAGCTGAAGAAATACATTTTGGTAAGTCCAAATATAGTAATATCATATTGCTATTTAAAAAGAGAGAATGAGAAAGCTTCTTATGTATTGACATGAAGATCTCCAAGTTGTATCATCAAGTAAAAAGAACAGGGTATAAAGTATGCCATCATTCGTATAGAAAAGGGGTAAGAATATACATTCCTATATGTATTTCCAAATGTGAAAAGAATCTTTTTAAAACATTTTTACTTACTGATTTTGCGTGAGAGAGAGAGAGAGAGAGAGAGAACATCATTGATTTGTTGTTCCACTTATTCATGCATTCATTGGTTGATCCTTGTTATGTGCCCTGACCAGGGCTTGAACCCACAACCTTGGAGTATCAGGATGAAGCTCTAACCAACTGAGCTACCCTGCCAGGGCCAAAAGAATCTTTTGATGGATATACAGGAAACAAACAATAGCAGTTACTTTTTGGAAGGGCAAGAACTGAGTAAATGCATGACAGCGTGGGAAGGAAGCCTTTGACTCTATGCCCTCAATACTTCATTAAAAGATTTTATTTATGTATTTCTGGAGAGAGGGGAAGGGAGGGAGAGGGAGAGAAACACTGACTGGTTCCCTTTTGCATGTGCCGCCACCTGGGGACCTGGCCTGCAACCCAGGCATGTGCCCTGACTGGGAATCGAACTGGTAACCTTTCAGTTCACAAGCCAGCACTCAGTCCACTGAGCCACACCAGCCATGGTGCCCTAAATACTTTTTAAAAAATAATTCTCACCCGACGACATAATTATTGGTCTTAGAGAGAGGGGAAGCGAGGGAAAGAGAGGAAGAGAAACATCGACGTGAGAGAAACATTGATGGGTTGCCTCTTGGACATGCCCTGACCGAGGACTGAGCCCACAGCCTAAGCATGTGCCCTAATCAGGAATCGAACCTGCAACCTTTTGGTTTATGGGACAACACTCCAACAAATTCAGCCACATCAGCCAGGGCAATACTTTTTAATTTTTAAATTACATTACAGTATTCTGTATTTAAAAAAAACAACAACAACAACAAACTTTAAAAATATTCTTAAATATCAGATAGACTCTGCAAAGGAATTAAGTGGTATTACATAACTCCTAGGCAGGAAGACTTGGTGGCTAAAGAATTCAGTTCTGCCAACCAGTTATGAGCACTTAAAGTCAGTAGTTCTCAAATATGACTGCACAGAAGTATCTGCAGTATCTGTAGGAAGTATCTGTATACATCCTATACAGTCTTAACTCCCACCATCCCATCCCAATCACCTACTGAATCAGAGTCTCTGGAGGGAAGCCTAGGAATCTAATTTTAACAAGCACCCAAAGGAGTCTAAAATAGCTAGCCAAGTACAGCAGACCTAGCCACATGGGAATAACTGCTGTATTTGCCCAAGGATCTTCTCCTTGGGTCAAATTTCCAGATGTGTGCATCTGAAAATAGTCTAACCTCATTCCCTTTCCTGAAAAACACTGAGAGATAAACAAGCGGAGCCTTCATTAGAGACAACCCTGAATACCAACCCCCTTGTAGGGCCTTTTCTGCTTACTTCCCACAGGTTCCCCACTCCAGCTGACTCTCTCCAGGTCGTCATCGTCATCGTCATCCACGAAGTCTCGAAGGCTATTCACTGCCCGCTTGGATTCCTTTAACTGCAGGAGACACAAGGCAAGGACGCTCAGGCAATCGGCATCTCCTGCCCTTCTCTTTGAAAGCCAAGAAAGCTGAGAGATTGGAACTCGAAGATGGCCAACACTTCCACCTTCTGTAATAGAAAGTCTAGTCTGCTAGACACTTGCCAAGAAAACACAATGGTTTTTAGCCAACACTGGAGTCCAGTGGCAAAGGAGTTGGGAGGAATCAGAGCCACCTTTGACTTGTAATCGTATTCCTGGCAATGCCTTGCTGTGTAAACCTGAGTGAGTTTATCCACCTCTCTAAAAATGAGTGTTCCTCCATTTGTAAAACAGACACACTAAACACAAAACTTTCAATCTGGTCCATCTTTCAAACAGAATAAATTATATCACATGACAAAAGACTTCGGGTTCTTAGGGAAAAAACAAACAGAAAGAAATGAATTATCTTAAGAATATACAGTAAGAACAAAGAATTGGTTTTTACAGTCCTTCTGGTTCTTTTCTAAGGGCTTTTCTTTATGAACATTTTCTAAAAATCTGACCCAAAACATTTCTGAGCTCAATGGAGACCTGGCCAAAAGCCAGGTTACCAAGTGTGCATGTGAGTGGAAAGGATTTTAGAAGCACTAAAAAGAAGAATGAGACCTTCAGCAGCTGTTCATGGAAACCTACCTGTGAAAGCTCATCATCTTCATCATCAAAGGTGAAAGCCTTGAACTTGGAGCTGTTCCAATACTCCTCCTCATCACCTTTTGTCCGATTCATCTAAAATGAGAGGAAGACCGATATATGTCCCTTTCTAGATTTCCCCCCGTCAAAAAACTACAGACCCCCAGTAGTAATCAGGGATATATTAAAAAATCTGGTAAAGCAAATAGTGGATATAGCATGTAAAATCAAATCCTTGGGTATCCAACTGATCAAACCATACTTTTGATCCTCAAATTACCCACAAGTAGTCATTCATTCCTAGAACACCTACTTTGTTCAAGGCACTCTCTCCAGTGTTGTAAGGGATATTTAAAAAGTGCAAGACACAGTTCCTCTCCTGAAGGATCCTATAACACAGCTGGAGTATTCAGCATAGGTACATAGAGAGTTAATAGTACAAGGCAAGCAAGTGTTTTAAAAATGCATTGCCAACTTTGCTGAATATACAGGATCAAAATATATACAAAAAGATCATAACTGCATTCCTGTGTTCAACATATACATACTGAGTGCCATGCCTGGGGCGCTCTTATAGGCTCTGGGGATCCTGCCGTAAATAAAACTGACAGATATCTTGCTCTCATGTATGCTCGTTAAATGCCTGAAAGAATAAAAGCAATTAAAAGCAGAATTATCCTGTCTGTATCTTTAAATCTTCATTAATTTATTAACAAGTATCTGCACAAACTTGGGAAATGAGGGCATGGCCAAAAAGTAAACTATAAAAAGAATTGGTCAAAGGACCACAAATCCCTCTCATAACTACTCTAAAATTAGATTTTGGTCTGAAAAAATTTGCCCTAGAATTACAAACCAAGTTATCAATGCCAACTGGATTAGTGTGAAAACTGGTTTAATCCAAGAACTCGGTCCGAAACTTTCACAACACCAAAAATAACTCCAAGGGTTCCATAGTGTCAAATTCTCAAGGATCCATTTGCTTTTCCTTTCATTTCAATAGCACTTTTCTCAATAGTACCTTTCTGAATAGAAGCTTCATAAATACTCATCTTGGCAGTCGTGTTGAGGCTTCTGATGCTCCTTAACATAGTCTGCATTCCCTTTCCGACTCTGTGTTTCCAGGGCGGACAGGGATGGCAAAGGTACGGCTGGGAATTTTCTACTACCTGATCCCTTCCCATTCTACTGAACCCAGGTGTAACTTAAAAATTCTTTCGCATACTTAATCCCAATAAGTCAAAACCAAATAAAAAGCTGGCAGACAATGAACTCATCCCTTATAGTGATACAAACACAGGCTTTGTATTCTGGTATCCTTGAGTTCAAATCTTGGTCTCTCCAATTCTGAGCAAACAGGGTAAAAAATTTTATTTCTAAGCCTTGGAGAAAGTGATAGCCTACCTACACAGAGTTGCAGTGAAGAATAAATAGGACTCAGGAAACGCCTAACAAAGTGGCTAGCATTTTACTGACACCTTCCTATCTCAGTTTCCTCATCTGTAAAATGGGCATTAATAATAGAAAGCTACCACCCGGGCTGGGAGCTCAGTTGATTGGAATGTTATCCCATGCACCAAAAGGTTGCAGGTTCCATTCCCAGGGAGGGCATATACCTCGGTTGCAAGTTCAGTCCCTGGTTAGGGCACATACAGGAAGCAACCGATCAATGTTTCTGTTTCTTTCTCTCTCCCCCACCCCCAGCCACCTTCCTCTCTCTCTAAAACCAATAAACATAGCCTCGGGTGAGCATTAAAAATAAATAAATAATAGAAACCTACCTTATGGGATTGTTTTGAAGCCTAAACTAGTTAATACATGCCTGACACAAAATTAATGCTCAGTATTAACTTTTATTTTAATAAATTATGGTACCTTGGAAGAAGTTAGAAAGTATTTTTAAGCAATGCTAAAGATTAAAAAAATTGATACAAAAATTGTAAGCGGCCACCACAAACACTGAAGGTGTACATAGAACATATACTGTAAATGTCTCTGCCACGGGTGCCAATTTATAGTTATTTTGTCATCCTTGGAACACCACCATAAGGCAGGCCTGGCAGATTCCTTTTCCATTTCACTGATGAAAGGAATGATGCACAAAAGGATTAAGTATCCAAGCCACGTTGCTACTTGCTCCTATGACCCTGGTTTACTGCCTCCTGGACCATTTCCACTCTGACTTCCATGGCCCTATTTTTCACTATAAGGGAAAACTAGGACAGAGCGTTCTTCATTACAGTCAATAAACATCTGTAAGTATCTACAAATAGGCATAGAATATATCTGACAAACCCAATAACCCATCAGAGGGATTTCTGGAATCATTTTTCAACCATGCAACTTGGATGGATACTTGACAACAATTTGTCTATTGCCAAAACAGAACCTAGATTTACTTGGCAAGTAAAGAGGTAACGACTGAATGACTCTGGGAGTTATAAAGCAACTAGGTATAATTTTAAGAATGGCTGAGGAAGGTGTTTTAACATGATTTAAAATACTTCAGAGACTTGTCTTTATTGCCACCTGTTTAACAAGACCCCATGAGGGGAGAACAGAAACATGAATAAGAAAAACAGAAAGCACAGGGAAAAAGAAAAAAGAAAAATCCCACAACCAACACGTTTCCCCGCCTCAGGACATCCCAGAAACCAGCTAATAAGAAGTTAGATTCAGATTCAGTTATTCTTTTCCAAAACAGTCCTACATGGATGAGGGTATGAACTCAGACCAGGGACTGTGAGTTAAATCAGGGGCGAACGTCCAAGGAAGTCTCGGATTGCCAGAGCCCGGCGGATCCCTGGAAGACTAAATACTTGTTTAAAATCAAATGTCAGGGGTCCTTCTCAGCTCCAACCTGAGCGTTCTCTGGTCACCCTGCCTGGGGTCGCTCGGACCGGAAGAGAATCAGGCCTTGGGGGGAGTGTAGGGACGTCTTAAAGAATTGATGGAAAGGATCAAGGTGCGAAGCGCTGGACTCAGCCAGATACGCGGCAGAAGGGGTTTGGGACACCCTCACCTCTTCCACACCGAGCCCTCCCAATCAGGAAAGCGCCAGACTCTTCCGCCGCAGGACAACCCTTTCTAGACTGGCTATGCGGCATAGAATAGGGCGGAAGGGGATAGTCGCAGGGAGGCGCAGCGGTCAGAGGGAACCTGTGGCAAGAAAGGCACCGCAGAGCATGCTGGATGTTGTAGTTTCTTCCTTCTCGGCGTCAGGCGCTGTCCGGACAAGCCATGGGGCTTAGTGACTACAACTCCCAGAATCTCCAAGGCACGGTGCATTAATCGTTTCCTTCTCTTTTAGCGCGACCTCCCGTAGTCATCCAGAGGGTCACGCAACAAAACTACAATTCCCAGGAGGCTCAGCAGAGCCGACTTGGGGTCTGGGGAAACAATGAGACACGTTCTTTGTGTCTCTACGGATTACGAGTGGTTGAATGAGTGACTGCATTTCTGGCCCCTTCGGGGAGAACCTCAGGGAGTCTGAAAGAACCCTAGCACAAGCGGAAGCCAAGGTCCGGCGAGGTGGAACGGAAGTACCGGTGGGAGTTAGGAGGAGCCGGAAGTTAAGGCGGGGAGGGGGCGGGGGGTGGAGGGAAAAGCGAGCCAGAAGGTTCTGCGGCCGCTTCTAGTAGTTTCCAGGCGCTGCCGGGCGGCTGGGAGCAGGCGGTATTGGGGTGGTTGCTGTGGCTGCTCGGGACCTGGTGACGGCGCGACTGGGGCCAGGCAGCACTGAGGTTGTTGCTGCGGCTGCTCGGGACTTGGTGCCGGCGCGATAGGAAAGCCGATGGCCAAGTGGGGTGAGGGTGACCCACGCTGGATCGTGGAGGAGCGGGCGGACGCCACCAACGTCAACAACTGGCACTGGTGAGAGCTAGCGGGCCGGGCTACGGGAGCACTTCGGCTGGGTCAGGGTTGCAGGGTCCTTGGAACCTCAGGCGGGACAAAGCTGGGACCGAGGCAGCCCGGACCGGAGGTGGGGGTGGGTGGTTCTTGTTGCCGGTGTCCGTAGCTCCATGCCTACCTACCTTGGCCGCCGTTTCAGTGTTTAGGGGGTGAGGGTCAACGTGGAGGGCTGGCTCCAGAAGAGCGGTTTCAAAGAGGTGAAAACATAGCCCTCTAGTTTTTGCCTCTAACCTTAAAGGAGAGAGATTTCCCACACGTGGTCGGAGGAGACCGTGAGACCCAAACGGGGGCCCTGGGTTGTGTTGGGAGATTGCTGTGCAAGGCTCGGGGGCGGGGTGGCTGGAATTCCTGTTCTGCGGTTTGCGGGTGAAATTAAAAGGCTTCGGAACCGCTGCTTCAGCTCGGAAAGCGAAGGTTTGGAACGTGTTCTCCAGGTGCTCAGAGCTCAGTGACGATGAGGACGCCCGGCCTCTCCCCCGGAACTGTTAGGTTGCCTGTGTTGTAACTCCGGGAACTGCCCCTGGTTGCCGGGCGAGCGTCCTTTTATAATCTAACTACTCTTTCAAAGCCTGCTCCTTCATGAAGTCTTACGGAAATAGTTTTCTTCTTTTTCAACTACACTGAACTTTGCTCATACTGTTTTCATTGTGTTTTTACTTTGTTGCAGCTTTCTGTTGTTTTCCTCTCCTGGTTAGTAAGTCAGGAGGCAGAGAGTGATTTTTCGTCTCTGGTATCTCAGCCGGGCTCTTCTATTAACAGAACGCAGAGTGTTTGACCTAATTTTTCTTTGTTTTGAAGCCCTGGACTTAAACATTGTTTTCATGGCCATCTACAGGGCTCACAATGTGTAGGGCGTTTATAGCGCAACCTGAACTTGATGGATCAGAACACTGTGTTAATGGGGTCAAGATTATTTGTTTATTCCTTCCAGGACTTTTTATGCATTGTATGGCCCAGGCTGAGCTCCTGGCTTCAGCAAGATGTGTACAGTTCCCCCGTGGTCAAATGGCACCACGTTAAGGTGTCAAACACTGACTTCACACACCCCACATTGTACCATTATGCTGATTGAGTTTGTAACCATTCTGTGGGGCAGTCTCTTCATTGACAGTATATGACTTCTTGTCTTCCTAAGACAAGAGTGACATGTTTGTGGGCACACTGGAGTGCAACGTTTTGTTCTTTTCAAACTATTGTCAGGCCTCCTCTAGCCTTGCATTCCCTTGAGTAAAGCAAGCAGTGCACTCTCTATGGCTGCTGGTTCATAGCTTTGTTTCTGTTTTGCAGGACTGAGAGGGATGCTTCAAACTGGTCCACGGAAAAACTGAAAACACTGTTCCTGGCCGTGCGGGTGCAAAATGAGGAAGGCAAGTGTGAGGTGACAGAAGTGAACAAACTTGATGGAGAGGCATCCATTAACAATCGCAAAGGCAAACTTATCTTCTTCTATGAGTGGTCTGTCAAACTGAATTGGACAGGTGAGTCTACTTCGGGCTGTCAGGAAGAAGGTTAACTTCATTTTGACTGACCTGTTAAGGAGCTGGGCAGAACCATTTCTGAGGGCTTATGAACTTCCCCAGGGAGATAGTGCTGTTTTGGTGTCCTATAGGGAGCAGCGTTAGATGCTGAAATCTCTCTGCCACTGCGAGACACTAAAGGGGTTTCCTCTCTGTGAGTCTCAAGGGTCACTACCAGTGAAGCAGCTCTGCCCCTGTATTTTAGGGGCTTGGTCTCTGTAAGTTCACATTTAAGTGACTTCCTCAAACTAGCTACTTCTGTCAGTTGGATGATATAAAAGTGGGGAGGGGGGTTATTTTGGTCTTATCCTTACACACACTCTCCAGCGTGGATCTAACAGGTCAGACTACTGTGCTAATGAAGCTTACATGTGACTAATGTGGGCCAGTTTTATCCTCTAGTTCAGTGTCTCCTCTTGATACTAGCAAAGAATTGGGGCCATGCATATGCCCCAGTAGGTGGTCTCTCAGTCAAGAGGTTGAATTGTAAAAGGCCTTAAAGCTACAGCCGTCTGTGTATGGGGCAAAGCATAAAGTAAACTTGTGCTTCAGTAAACATTTCTCAAATGAATGGTAATAAAGAAGGGAAAGGTAGATATATAACGGTGTTTTTATTTTTTAAGCTACTAAAGAATAGTAGTCTAAAAGGAACCTTAGATATCATCTTGCCCAGTCCTCTAGTCTTAGATTGAGAAAACGGGGCCTAGTGAAGTGGAAAAAAAAAAAAAAAATTTGCTGATTGATTTTTGAAGTACAGTCAGTTCTGCTATAGTGTGACATACATATTCCTAAAAAATCACTGCACTGTGCAAAATCGCTCAGTAAAAGCCACAAGGCTTATTGGAAAAAGAGGGTTAGGCACATAACATGACACCCAAAACTTCATTAGTGACACATTTTTAAAAATTTAGCAATGTAAAAATTGTTAGCACAGCTTTAAACACACAAAATGGTAAGCAGTACATTAATAATACAGTGAGTATGCTGGCTTACCTTGAAAAAGACTGGAAGCTGACTTGTGAAAGTGGGCCTCAGGAGTTCCAGTTGGTGGGTTAGTGAAGCGATAGACGGAGTCACCTGCAATCAGAGGGAACTTTGTAACACCAGTTGTGGGTGGTGTGGCTTATAACAGGCTCAGTGAACTGAGGTCACCGGCAGAGCAGTGTCTGGGATGTTTTTTGTATTCTTCAGAAGCTGAGTTCAACTGGGTATGTTTCTTATGTTCACCTGGTGCAGGGGTGTCCAGCCCGCAGGCCACATGCTGCTTAGGATGGCTAGGAATGAATGCGGCCCAACACAATATCATAAATTTACTTAAAATATTATGAGATTTTTTTTTTTCCCGTTAGTGTTTGTGTATTTAATGTGTGGTCCAAGAAGACTCTTCTTCTGACAGTGGGGCCCAGATATGCTCAAAGGTTGGACATCCATAACGTGTTTCTCATGGGTATAAGCAAATGTGAAATTCATGTTAGGATCAGATGTCCCCTAATTGGAACAAATTCGTATTTTCAAAATAAGCATTCTAGCAGAACTGACTGTATAGGCAATTTTTGTGAAAGATTTTTATTTATTTTTAGAGGGAAGGGAAGAGAGGGAGACGGGGAGAGAAATATCGATGTGTGAGAGAAACATCAATTGGTTGCCTCTTGCCCTTGCTCGCCCGCAACCCAGGCATGTGCTTTGACTGGGAATCAAACCAGTGACCTTTCAGTTTGTAGGCCAGTGCTCAGTCCACTGAGCCACACCAGCCAGGGCTGGATCGGCTGTTGACCCAAAGTCTTCCCTGGCAGAATTCATGCGGCTCTTGGTCCCACACTGTAATAACGTGCTCGGTTTTAAAAAAATTTGATAAGGAAAGACTTTTTTTTCAGGAGGGGGAAGGTTGCTTGCATCTGGCATGTCGCATTTTCTCAGAGTAAAGAGGTCAGTTCAGTTGTTTGTAAGAAGCGTATACAGAGGAGTAGAAGGACTCCGGAGCAGACTTCTCTTTCAGAGGAGACTGATGACACTGTGTTGCTTTTGACAGGCACCTCTAAGTCTGGAGTGCAGTGCAAGGGACATGTGGAGATCCCCAATTTGTCTGATGAAAACAGCGTGGACGAAGTAGAGGTTTGTGCTTCCTAACTTCTCATCTGAGTCTTCTACATCTTCTTATTCTCAGATAAGAACAGTGAGCTATCATTCAAAACTAAAGCCCAGGCTCGGCCCAGGCATTCAGAACCCCAGCCTGCAGATGACTTTCTAGGTCAGTGGTGCCACTGGGAGCTTCCAGAGCAGCTTGTGCTTGTTTGGTAACTTTGCTTGAGCTAGTGATGTGGGTTCTAACATTAGCCACCTTTGCCTTGGCAGAGAACACTCCTGGGGTTTGTACAAACACCTCACCTCTCACACCTTTCCTTTGGAGACACCAGTTACCTGATTGCTCAGCACCCACATTCCACAGTGCAGGTACCCCTCGAGTTATTTACTACCTACTTCTGATCTTTCACTCAGATTAGTGTGAGCCTTGCCAAAGATGAGCCTGACACAAATCTCGTGGCCTTAATGAAAGAAGAAGGGGTGAAACTCCTCAGAGAAGCAATGGGAATTTACATCAGCACCCTCAAAACAGGTATCCCTTGAGTAGTTGCATATGCTTTGAGGAGATAGTTTTCCACCTGTCAGGCTCTGAGTGAGGGGCTTGGCAG